GTTTACCCCGAAACATGGTGTCAGAAGTAAACTAAATAAACGCCCTAGAATTGTCGCAGTAGCGCCACCGGCGCAAGAGGTAAAATGGCAGAAGCAGCCGGATTTACCCCGCCGTCGATGGATTGGCAAGCCGCAGATTTACCTGACGAATTCGAGCGGTTCCAACAATACTGCCTTCTAGTTTTCCAAGGGCCCTTTTCCGACAAGTCCGACAAGGAAAAGGTCGCCTATGTCATGCTATGGATCGGGAGAACTGGTGTTGATGCTTTCTATACGGTTTCGAGTGGGATAATGCAAGCGACAAATCCAAAGTAGCTGCCGTCTTCAACAAATTTAATAAGCATTTGCAGCCACGGGTAAATGCACGACTGGCTCGGGTTGAGCTTCAGAAATACCGCCAGCAACCCGACGAGTCTGTAGATGATTTCTTTGCGAGGTGTAAGAAGAAGACGTCCAAGTGCAAGTTCAGGGACGCTCAGGAGACTAACGATCGCCTGATAGAACAGCTAATCGTGGGGACGAAGCACTCGAAAGTGCAAGAACGCCTGCTGGAGGGTGGTAGTGATTTGACTCTGGACGAAGCGCTTGACAAGGCCCGTACTTATGAAGCAACACAGCGCCACATGGAGCAGCTGTCCACCGCCACCAGCAGCAGCCGTCTACCTGAAACGGTTCACGCCATTTCCCAATCTGTGGGACACGCAGACTGCGGCAAATGTGGACGAACCCACCACCCAAGCAAGTGCCCAGCGCACGGCTCCACCTGCAACAAATGCGGGAAGGCGAATCACTGGGCAAACGTATGCCGTTCGCAGGGGAGAGACGAGGCACATGGAAGGGGCCAGCAACGCGGACGCTGGCGCCAGAGGAGCCCCAGCCCGCGGGAGCGCTACCCCCAGAGGAGCCCCAGCCCACGGAGACGCTTCGACGCACTGCATTTCGACGCCGTCATCATCGACAGCGTCGAGCGTCACCAACCGCCACTGGAGCGAGAGGTGTTCGCGACCCTCAATGTCAGCCTGGACAACACCAACAGACCGGCCACCTTGAGAGCCAAGGTGGATACGGGCGCCCAGGGCAATATATTGCCGTTGAGAGTGTTCTGCCAAATGTTCCCCCAGCACGTCGGACCAAACGGATACCCAAAGCCGAAGTCCGTGAAGCCGTCAAGTACCACCCTCACAGCGTACGGCGGATCCAAGATAAAGCAATGCGGAACCCGTCCTATTCCGTGCTCTTACGATGGCAAGAGTCAACTCGCTGACTTCTACATCACGGACTGCCCTGGCACTGCTATCATCGGTCTCCCGACAGCGACAGCCCTGCAGTTAGTCACGCTGAACTGCGCTGTCCAGGAGAAGCCAGCGAGCATCCGAGACAAGGACGACCTGATGAAGCAATACCCGAAGTGCTTCGATGGCATTGGGAAATTCCCAGGCAAGTACCACATCACGGTGGACCCCAACGTCGTCCCGGTTGTACACCCTCCACGCCACCTCCACGCCATCGCACTGAGAGACGAGATCAAGACGGAGCTGGAGGACATGATCCAGAACGGCATCATCACCAAGATCCAGGAAGGCGAACCAACAGCGTGGGTGAACAGCCTCGTGTTCCGCCTCAAAGACAATGGCAAGCTACGCCTGTGCCTAGACCCCAAGGACCTCAATCACGCCATCCTGCGAGAGCACCACGTGGTCTCCACCATTGAGGAGATCGCCATGAATTTGAGAGGTGCCAAAGTGTTCTCGATCGTCGACGTCAAATGTGGGTACTGGAATGTGGAGCTCGACGACGAATCCAGTTACCTCACCACCTTCAACACACCATTCGGGCGCTACAGATTCCTTCGCATGCCATTCGGCCTCAAGATGTCGCAAGATGTCTTCCAAGCAAGGATCGACCAGACATTCGAAGGGTGCTCAGGCGTCACCGGAATCGCAGACGACATCGTCACATACGGGACGTCAGACGAGGACCATGATCTCAACATGCACCAGATGATGGTTCGCTGCGAACAATCTGGTCTCAAGTTGAACCCAGACAAATGCCGCATCAAAGAGGACAAGATCAAGTTCTTCGGCATCATCTGCAGCGCTGACGGAATACAGCCCGACCCGAAGAAGGTCTCAGCGCTGAAGCAGATGGAGCACCCCGAGAACGAGGACGAGCTCCAGACGTTCCTCGGGCTAGTCACGTACATGAGCCCGTTCATACCGAATCACCTGCGTGAGCTGACCAAGCCAGATACACCGTTCGCCTGGACAGACAGCCACCAGCGCACCTTCGACAAGGTCAAGGCCGCCATTTTGACAGAAGTAACGCTCAGTTAGTTTGACCCAGGCAAGGCAACGACACTACAAGTCGACGCTTCCATGAAAGGTCTCGGCGCCACTCTGCTGCAGGACGACAAGCCTGTTGCATTCGCCAGCAAGAAGCTTACCGAGACGGAGTCTCGCTACGCCAATATTGAGCGTGAGCTCTTAGCTGTCGTATACGGGTGTGAAAGATTCCACACCTACCTATTCGGTCAGTCATTCACAGTACAATCCGACCACAAGCCGCTGGAGTCAATCAAGCGCAAGCACCTCCGCGCAGCCCCGCCGCGTCTACAGCGCATGCTGCTGAAGCTGCAGCCGTACGACATGACCATCAAGTACCGCCCCGGAAAGGACATTCCGATCGCAGACGCGCTATCCCGACTGTCGCCAGAGGAAACAGAGCCAATTGAGGACCTCGACGTCAGTGTACACGCCGTGTTCCCGCAATTCAGCGATGCAGCGATGACGAGGATCCGCGAGGAGTCGGCTAAAGACGCCGAGATGTCAGCACTGAAGGAGATGATCTTCAGTGGCTGGCCATCAGAGAGGAGCGCGGTGCCGGCAATTCTGCTCCCGTACTGGAATTTCCGCGACGAGATGAGCACCAAGGACGGTCTCATCCTGAAGAGCAGTCGCGTCCTGATTCCCCCGCCAATGAGGGGGGGAAATCCTCAGCAAGCTGCACGCCAGCGACCAAGACATAGAGAAGACCAAGCTGCGAGCCAGAACGTCCGTCTTCTGGAAGGACATCAACAAGGATATCGAAGCAACTGTCTCATCTTGCACGACGTGCCAGCGCCACCAGAGCAGTCAAGCCAAGGAACCACTGGTGCAGCCCGATATTCCGCCAAGGGCATGGCACACCTTAGGCACGGACCTGTTCTACCTCGGCGGGTCAGAATACCTCATTGCCGCCGACTACTACTCCAAGTACTTTATTACCCGGAAGCTGCCTGCCGGACATGCGACCAGCAGGGCCATCATCCAGCACCTCAAGGAGATTTTCGGTGAGCACGGCATCCCAGCCGTGCTGAAGTCGGACAACGGGCCGCAATACAGCAGCCATCTGTTCGCGGAGTTTGCTGCCGAATATGGATTCCGCCACAGTACGTCGTCGCCACATCACCTGCAGAGTAACGGGTTTATCGAATCGCAAGTCAAGATCGCTAAGAGAGCTCTCGAAAAGGCAAGGGAGAGCGGGACCGACCCGCACTTAGCACTGCTGTGCATTTGCGCCACCCCAGTGTGCCAGGGCTTACCGTCGCCGGCCGAGATGCTGTTCGGTCGTCAGGTACAGGACAACCTGCCTCGCAAACACCAGCGCGACACTCGGGACGAGGCCATCCGACAGAAGCTCGAGGAACGGCAGGACCAGCAGAAAGTACACCATGACCAGCGAGCGCAGTCTCTCCGCCCCCTAGTTCTTGGTCAGCACGTCGGCATCCGCAGCCCGACCACGCACCTGTGGGAACCTGGTATCGTAACCCAGTCTGTCAACGGGCCACGGTCATACATGGTGCAGCCTGACCATGGGACAGAAGTGCGGCGCAACCGTACCTACCTCAGAGAGAGGCGGGTCCACTTCCCACCGGATGCCAGTCTCGCAGGCCCTCAGCCGTCGACGCGCAGCGACATTGGCGAGCCTCAGCCGCCGAGTGACGTGCCGTCGCCGTGGAGCGACGTTAGCCAGTCTCAGCCGCCGTCACCATGTGACGTCAGCAAGCCTGATGAACCTGCCACCCAGCTGTATCGAACACGGTCTGGCCGCGCAGTCGCACCCAGGTCAATCCTGGATGTGTAGGGCCAGAGAGGCCTCATGGACCTGTTCGCTTATGTCACAGTAGCTGAGGTGCCATTGTTATATTGTACATAGAGCTATTGTTGGATACTATGTCTCTGTATTGTTAGCACGCCGTCGTGTGCCATTCATGATTGTTACCTTGTACATAGAGCTATTGTTGGATGTTATGTTCTATATTGTGAACACGCCGTCATATACGTACGGTATGTTATGTAGGTTGTTAAACTCCTTTATGACGAAGGGGATGTTGTATTATGATGTAATGCATTACGTAGCCATGCAAGAGCATGCGCGAGATACGCATCTCGCAGCTGCCTACTTTCATGCAGGATCCTTTAGATGTCGTCGTTCTTATGATTTGCCTACAATGGCCAAGTGAGAATATAATCCTGTCGTAAACAACTAACTTGTTTACCCCGAAACACCGTTGACCTAAAGAAAGAATGCCAGTAAACAAAGTTGCGGTGCCTATGTATGAATAAGCATAGTGTGTGTGTGCGTGTGTGTGTGTGTGTGCGTGTGTGTGCGTGCGTGCCCGCGTGTGTGTGTGTGTGTGTGTGTGTGTGTGTGTGTGTGTGTGTGCGTGCGTGCGTGTGTGTGTGTGTGTGTGTGTGTGTGTGTGTGTGTGTGTGTGTGTGTGTGTGTATGTGTGTGCGCGTGTGTCTGGGGGTTTCAGGGGTGTCGGCCGTTGGGCGATTCAATAGCCAATTGAGTCATCTTTCCAAGATTCTTTTTGAATCTTCCTTCCCTCTCCCGGGGAGATCTATATGACCAGTTTTGGCAGTGAGAAAGTACGATAGTGTGTGTATTTTTTGCGTGTGTGTGTGTTTTTGTGTGTGTGTGTGTGTGTGTGTGTGTGTGTGTACACTTCCCTATAGCCGCTAATGCTGTGAAAGTCTATGACAACAGTGGTTACATCGTGCAATGTGCTGGCAGCAATGCTGCTTTCCAGCCTGTCTTTGAAAGTCGCAAGATACTCAAGGTAATATCATTGTACTTCAAGTACAAGTGTGTGTATGGTATTTCGGGACTACTTCATCATCCATGACTTTGATCCTCATTCATTTTTTAGGATATGTACAGTGGAATGTCTACTTTGTCTTGCTATGTCTTGATATTGTCATGTTTTACTTTCCCTGTGTGCTGATATTTGCACATTTCACAAACAATGATGCCGCGATGATGTGAAGTTTGAATTGTACTTCGAAGTATAAAAAGTGGAGAGCGGAGATATAGCAGTATACACACCTGGACTTGTGTCCTAGCTCAAAGCTGCTATGATGCAATCCTAATTTGCTCTGCTTTTTGTTGGACACGCTCCAGCTGGAGGAGGCCTTAGCTGATGGTACACACGTACAGCCAGTATCCAACGAAGATGGTCCGGTACAGATTGGTACAATTGGCGCACAATACGCGATGTCTATCCTTCAGTGCGGTAGAAGTCCTTCTATGGACTATGTGGACATGGATCGGGTAAGCATTTTTGCCAGTGGACTATATTGCTTTCCTTTCTTTGCTCTGCTACTGTTGGTGGAACTCACAGCATATACTTCAATTTCAACCATTTTGTTCCTGTCTTCTTTCCACCTTGATGAAACTCCCAAGGGCAGTTTTTGGCGATGCTCTGTGGTGTTCACGAATTGAGTGAATTCGTGTGTGCATCTCAGGGACTGTCTTATTCCTATTTTGTGTTCAGAGGATGGTGATCGGCAAAAGTTTTTGTGTGTGAGATGATCTTTCATGGTCACTCCATGTTTCACAATCTCTGCCAGTTCTTGTTGCCTCCATCATGCAAACGGGAACCGCAACAAAAATGTTATTCTCACCAGAACAAGTGCAATTTTCGTATCTTCCTTTTCCTCGAACCAAGCGAAGATCACCTCCTTATGGATTTTGGTGATTTTCGTATTGATATTTTATGTCTTTCAGGAACCATGGGATGATTTGAGGCCAGTATCATGTTTTCACTTGGGCACAATTGCTGTGTTAGATTCTTTCATACACGGTGGGAATTTTTTCATACGGACATCTTCATGCCGCGGTACGTGTATAATTCTCTCACTGATTGCCCCTGTCCAGGTTACCACATCTTGCCTCTGGACATACGCACAAGGAAGCCAGACCCCAACAAGCTCTGTAGGTTCTAAGCAATATCCTACTTTTCTAAATGATTGTTTGTGGCAGTGACATGGTGACAAAATGCCAAGTGCACGGCGACTTTGATCTTGCACTGCATGACCGTGCGTAGCGAAGATGTTTGAACGATGCCGCACTGTGAGATAACAGCCTTGGTTGCAAACTGCTGCACTGTCTTCATTGTCACTTCTAAGTTAAAATAGTCTTTAGTTGAATGCCCAGATTCTTGGCAGTAAATGTAGTGCCTGCAAGCACCTGTACTCGCCAAACTGGCTTTCCATCTGTGCATGACTGTTTAGTGTGCGATTGGCTTACTTTCCTGGTGCACAGGATGATTACGTAGTCTTCACTGCTGCCAGTGGATGGACCACTGTTGATCGCACTGCCGCTGGAACTCTTCAGAGGGCTTGTCGTAACAAGGATGACCCACAGGCTTGGGAGGTATGATCAAGTGCAAAGCGATGCTTCACTGTATGTACTCTTGCTATCCTGTTAGAATGCAGCCAGGATTTCTGATCACACAAAAAGAACCAAAGCCAAGGAAGAATTATCCGAGGGTTTTGATGTGGGAACATTCCTCAAGTCCAAAGGCTAACCGTTTACTTACAGTTCACTCTTGTAACTAGTATTTTAAATGAGTTTGACATATTTGAGTTTCAAAGAACTCTCGAAACACCTGAGATAACAAGTTATGACAGGGTTGCCATAACGTACCAATCACACAGGTCAACTGTGTGGAGTAGCCACAGAGTCACCCCTCATTTAGCTCAATTGTGTGGAGTAGCTACAGAGTCACCAATCACTATATTATAAGGTCAATGCTGTGCCGAGCAGCCACTGTTGAAACACTGAATAGTAGTGTAAATCACTGTTTGTTGTCATGGTGTTTACATGTGTATACAGTTGTCACCACAAGGCCGGCCATGTGATGTTATGTACGAGTTTGCAGTACCTGCTAGTGCGCAGCAAGCCCAATCGCTGAGAACTGCTCTGGTGCAAGCTAATGTTTCATCAGCGCTCCTGCCATCAGGTTTCCCTGGGGTTACAAGCCCTCAAGGCAGTGAGTAAATGTTATGTTTAAGCATGAATTGCGAGTGTCCTCAGCAGCCTAGTTCTTTGCATGTGTGTGTGTGTGTGTGTGTGTGAGTGTGTGTGTGTGTGTGCACGTGTGTGTGTGTGTGTATGTGTGTGCACGTGTATTTGTATATAGTGGTGTTAAATTCTCTGTTTGGTTTGTGCTTGATTTATAGGCAATCCGGGAACGACTGTCCTTCCAAGTACGAAGTCGCCATCCAGCAAGCCAACTGTTTTCCATACCCTTGTTGGACTCCTTGTCATGGCTGCTATCGCTCATGTTGTTGCACTTTAGAAAGGCTATGCTAGCTATCTGCCGGATAATCTGGACATCATGTATCACACTGTGTATCACATGTATGATCGATGCAGTGCTTGTATTACTATGTACTTTATCATGCCCGGGATGATGTCACCGTATGCCATTCAGTATGTAACTCTAATATGGGATGATGTCACCGTATGCCATTCAGTATGTAACTCTAATAGTACACTGTACAGTCTAGGTGGGTTCAAACATACTAAGTCTTATTTTCTGCATGTGGTGCACAATTGTGCCAGAAACTGACTCCAGTGCTGTGTATAATACTTCCCTCCCGAGAGGCACACATGAATTTAGAAATCAGGATGGACCTGTTCTCAATGTCGCGGCGGCTATTCCTGATTCATCCTTTATTGCTTCCTGATCACAACAAAGAAAAATTATGCCGAATGTGGTAGCAAATTTTGTGAACTCAAATAATTGCAAAGATGTAAGTTGGAAAGTGTTCCCACTGTGTGTGTATGTGCATGTGTGTGGTACATCTGTGTGTGTGTGTTTGTGTGTGCGTGCGTAGCTACTAATTTTAACACCTAGGAAAACACGGTATTTGAATTATGCACTGTATGATCCTCACCCGTTACATGATGAGTAGTGAGCGGTGCTCGTAGATACAGGTGCGCTTCACTGTTCGCTGTTCACGAGCACACCCATAATTGGAAATTGTATCAAAAGAAGTTTTTGTCAATTTTTCCCTTATCTGTGCCCGCAAACGGTCCGGCTCTAGTTTGGCCGAGTCCGAGAAATTTCAACTCATGATGCCATTGATGGTGACTCAGGATTTTGAGGGCACATGATGGTAGACACTGGGCCTGGCTGTATTCATACTGCACTGTGACTTGGGACGGGTATTCCCCGCGGTAGGGTAACAACTACTAACAAGACAAACGAAAGCCTGAAAGGCCTTCTTTCCTTGACAGCAAGATGAAATTGACAGGGCTCCTATCAAGAGTAAGACTACGAGTGCCTTTGGCTTTGAAGCATCGTCTACACTAAACTAGTCTAAAGCCTTAGTAAAGGGATTATCTACAAACTGGTGTCATGAGTACAGTGTTCCAGTACATGTATACAGTACATTGAACAAGTCGAAGTACATCATCGGATTCTGCAGCTAATACAAAATAAAAAAAGTCTTCAAACCGGAATGAATGAAGAAGCCTGTACACTGCGGTTCCCAACTCCGAGTCATGAAGATCCACAGCCAGTGGTGTCCAGAAAGAAGAAAGTGGTGAGTTGCGATATCTGCAAATCCACTGCTCATACTTGAATTGCTTTTATCGAATATCGTTCGAGGGCTTCTTCTCGACTGTATTGCAGTACAATACTGAGCGTCTACTTTCCCACTTCATGTAACGTTAGAAGGATTATTGTATCGAAACTCGTCATCAAGACATTGAAACACTTCGATGAGGGCTACTAAAAGTATTTTCCTGGGCTGGTCCTATTCGCGAATTCGAGGGACACGTATCGAAATAACGCCAGTGGCCGGTGCTAGTTTGGCGGCCTAATGAGCAAGACGGCACTTGCCGAATCGAGCGTGATCTTTCGCTAGCATCACAAATACCACGATCGGAGGCTTCGGTAATCAGTGTGTAAAATGACCGTCTTGGTAGTGAGAAGTCGTTATTGAGGGGCAGCAACGCTTCTTGGTTGTACCATTCTCCAAGTGGAAACCAGCCGCGTAGTAGACTTCTACTGGGATTTGGTAGCGACTGTCCGAAACTCAGAGGCGACCATGCCATTGCTTGCCGGTGAGTGTGAGTGGAAATGTTTGAAAACTTGTGACAAACGTTGTGTGCAATCGTGCTTACGAGCTGTGGCTCTCAAATTATTTTGACTGAATGAGAGTTACGATGCCACCACCGCTCACTGTGAGCGTGGAGCGTTTGTTAGCCTGAATATTTTTTGACAATTGTTTATATCCGCCGGCCAGAATGCGAGCCTCTAGCCAAATATGTACCGATACACAACACACTACAGTGCCCAAATAACCAAGGTTTTATGCCGGACGAAATCATAGAGGGGATGGGAGAAGATCAACAACACGGTTGTTCGACAGCGATTCCCGGTGAGAGTTATTTGTGTACGACTGTACATAGTACACGTGAACCTCAGAGTTTGAATGAATGCTTGTTCAGCGTCAGACCCTGCTTTCAAGTCCTCACACCTAAATTATCACCTGCACGGAGGCAAAACCACACGATGAGATGATGGAATGAAGTGTACACACTCGATTCCGAGGCTAATCCTACCCATGAGTCTGAGAAGGGGTGGAGAGGCAAGGCCTCCTGAAATCCTATTACATGTATGCCTCCGACTGCTTTGAATTCAATGCCATGCACCGGAACTGGTACTGACAGTCTGTATTACCGGTATGCTATACAGTATAGCTTGGCTGGAGGTGAACACGGGTGAGCAGCAGCTTTTCTACTAAATAAATAGAAGTTTGAAATTCCCACCCGTCTGCCTGCGCTCCTCTGGACGACATCGTTCATCAAACGAGAATACTAGTACTGCATGGCAAGCTTGCTGTATTTCAGAAGATTTACAGTATAATGATCACATGACTCGAGACAATAAAGTAAGTCCCTTCTTTAGTGTCCTAGTGAGATTCCTCTTACCCTTGCCTTGTGTAGCCAAGGTCGTTCAAATAATAGTGGATCAGAAAATAATCCGGATATGGTGCGTATGGTACCTGGCGGTTTCACTTTTCTCTGAGCAGAAATCTAAATTATTATTTTTATTTAGAAATCTAAATGGGTCGACCCCAGGCCAGGGGGGGGGGGGAGGTATAAATGGAGATAGCACTCCATTTAGAAACCAAAGTAATTTTAGGATTTCAAGGTTCAGAATCATCAGATTTACAGAGCCCTTCTTTCGTGAGCAATTGAAGCAGTCGGTTTTTGGTCGGTTTGTCGGAATGACCTGTAAAAATCAGTGTGTTTCCAAAAATTGGAACCGTAAGCGACAACCCTGCAGTTTTCAGACTAGATGGAAACTAGCTGAACATATTTATTTGAGAAGTGTAGCTGTCAGCAGTGGGCTACCTTGGGGACTCTGTTGTGTAGAGCTTAGTTCAATATGGCGTATGGTGGCATATTGTGCTTCAGTCTTGATTGACAGCTTTCTATCCATGTGTGTGTGTGTGTGTGTGTGTGTGTGTGTGTGTGTGTTTGTGTGTGTGTGTGTGTGTGTGTGTGTGTGTGTGTGTGTGTGTGTGTGTGTGTGTGTGTGTGTGCATGTGCATGTGTGTGTGTGTGTGTGTGTGCATGTGCATGTGTGTGTGTGCTTTTCAGGTCATGCATGCACCATGTAGTGATGATAGTGTAATGAAAGCAGGCGATATGTCCGTTCAAGTGAAACAAACTACTGCAGGGGGTGCCAGTGGTCGAGGGACAGCAAGTCCTACAGCCAGTGCCTTGCATTCACCTGATTACGGTTATGCTGATAAAGCTGTACCTAATGCTAGCACAGTACAGCAGACTTGCCCGCAGCACAATCAACCATCAGGTGACTACCTCTCCACATGGAATGGTGCTAAGGCAGCAACATGTCCAGAGGTAACTCAGCACATGCCTGATCAGCAGCAGCAGCAGCAGCAGTATGCTTACGAGAAGAGTGCAAGATCATCTTCCCGGATCCCGGCACATCGCAATAGATCAGCTAGTAGCCATGGTGCCAAACCCCACACTCACACCACCAAGTCCAGTGGTCGTCTTCGTTCCCATCACCACCGACAGGCAAGGCAGGCAGACGCAGTTATACATGCACACCAAGTGAACCGAATGACCAGGCCAGGCAGTCAGATTGAGCGCTGCCCATTCTGCAGACATGTGTTCGTCAATAGCCTGGAGTTGGCCAAGCACTTCACCAACCGTTGTCCGAGGTCCTTACAAGTGTTCCTGTATAGTGCGCCACAGCTTCTTCAATACTACAAACAGAAGTCTCAGGAGAATAGCGCCTCCACCAATCATCACCAGCGAATACAAACTCACAAACACGTACCGGTGAGTGAAAACCGGAACTTCAACCCCATCCCAACGATGGGTAGCCGCGCAGTATGTTCCAAGAGATGCGTACAAGATGGCTCTAGCTCCAGCCAGCCAGTGTGCAACTGCCCTTGTGCTAGAAGCAACTCGGTCACCTCGTTTTGTCCATACACACCAGCTCATGTTCACAGACGTAGTGTGTTGCCGAAGTCCAAAAACAAGGAATCCACTGCCAAGAATCCCAGTCCCGTTGACCATGCTATACGAGATGCTCTGCTCGGGAGAACAGGAAGTTCCATGCCCAACAGAGCTGCAAGGGCCATGCCAATTTCCTACCATGCCGATCCCGAGCAGAAACGCCAATCTGTGCCCCCTGGATCACTTCAAGGAGTGACGTGGCAAGGTTCAAGGTCTACTCTGCTGCAACCACCACACTTGCACCCAGCCATCAATCATCCAGCCATTCTAAAGCAAGTCAAATTACAGCCAAAGCGCCCACCAAACCATGCTGGTGAAGACATGCCTGTTGTTCATCCTTCACAAGTACTATCCAGTGCGGAGACTCTGGACAAGCATGCTCAGGACTATTATGAAATTGAAGGTGAGTCAAAGCGCAACTCACGCTAATAGTGCACTACCAGTACAGTTTTTCATTATTACGAATCCCTACGGTAAGAGAAGAAAGGAAAATGATGAACGGCTATCTGTAGGAGCTGCTAAACTAGAAACAGTGTATGTAGTTAGGGTTGAGTGGGCTCCGCGACCACTGGTCTTGGGTTCATAGCTGTACTGCAAGCACCAAAGATGATAATAAAGCGGTAATGCTTGACACGGCAGCTGGTTTCTTAGCTCATAGCCGTGGCCATTGGCCACATGGAGATCATGCCGAGTGCGAGTGGGGTCATTGGGCTCTGGCCGTGGTTGGAGGACTGCTAGAATCTGAGTTGGTCTGGTTAGTTGGTCCGGTGAGTTGGTCCGGTGAGTTGGTCCGGTGAGGAAGTGCAGTTCATGGATGTATGTTAGTACAGTAACATATTGCCATAGACTGAGGCTCTAACATATTGCCATAGACTGAGGCTCTAACATATTGCCATAGACTGAGGCTCTAACATATTGCCATAGACTGAGGCTCTAACATATTGCCATAGACTGAGGCTCTAACATATTGCCATAGACTGAGGCTCTAACATATTGCCATAGACTGAGGCTCTAACATATTGCCATAGACTGAGGCTCTAACATATTGCCATAGACTGAGGCTCTAACATATTGCCATAGACTGAGGCTCTAACATATTGCCATAGACTGAGGCTCTAACATATTGCCATAGACTGAGGCTCTAACATAATGCCATATACTGAGGCTCTAACATATTGCCATAGACTGAGGCTCTAACATATTGCCATAGACTGAGGCTCTAACATATTGCCATAGACTGAGGCTCTAACATATTGCCATAGACTGAGGCTCTAACATATTGCCATAGACTGAGGCTCTAACATATTGCCATAGACTGAGGCTCTAACATATTGCCATAGACTGAGGCTCTAACATAGTGCCATAGACTGAGGCTCTAACATATTGCCATAGACTGAGGCTCTAACATATTGCCATAGACTGAGGCTTTAACATATTGCCATAGACTGAGGCTCTAACATATTGCCATAGACTGAGGCTCTAACATATTGCCATAGACTGAGGCTCTAACATATTGCCATAGACTGAGGCTCTAACATATTGCCATAGACTGAGGCTCTAACATATTGCCATAGACTGAGGCTCTAACATATTGCCATAGACTGAGGCTCTAACATAGTGCCATAGACTGAGGCTCTAACATATTGCCATAGACTGAGGCTCTAACATATTGCCATAGACTGAGGCTCTGAAGCTCAGTCCCCGGGTACCAATGATGCCGCAATACATGGCGCTGGGCATAGTCTGAATGTTCGAAATGGGAGGGAGCAGCTCTCATCCAAACGAGCAGAACATACTCCAAAACGGGCCACACAACACCCTGGTAGACTGTTAGTCGACCCTCTTTGGAGAGGTAGGACGTCGACCCTCTTTGGAGAGGTAGGACGTCGACCCTCTTTGGAGAGGTAGGACGTCGACCCTCTTTGGAGAGGTAGGACGTCGACCCTCTTTGGAGAGGTAGAACGTCGACCCTCTTTGGAGAGGTAGGACGTCGACCCTCTTTGGAGAGGTAGGACGTCGACCCTCTTTGGAGAGGTAGGACGTCGACCCTCTTTGGAGAGGTAGGACACAGCTCCCAGTATTACAGGTCAGTCCAGTGTCTGTGATTACCGCAGTGTGTTGTCTTTGAGACAAGGTGCAGATTTGGAGAGGCACATGCAGCTAATTGGTAATAGGGGACTCATAAAACGATGCTAATGTCTTCAATCTTGAGTTGGCAGCATGCTTTCTCAAATTCCTAGTTTACCCTTGGGATAATGCGTAGCAGCTGCGTGCTATTCTTTTTTCCTAGTCTTAATCGGCCAAGGTGAAGCATTTTTAAATGCTTTTAAGCATAAAAAAATTGTTCAATCCCATTCATGGTCTATTATATTGCTGTGCCTGTATGTTGATGTACGTAGACAGTGAGATGAGCCACCCAAGCATGAAGATGCAAGGCATCACACCGGTGACAGAGTCCTCGTCTTCAGCCTGCAAGTCCAGAACACAAACCAATGCACACAGAGAAGATGATGATTGCATGGACATGCCAACACTGGTACCGTTGTGAGGAGGAACAAGAATATAATCATGTTCCTAGCTTGTATTGTGAAGGTGCATGCCATGGAGTGTATACAGACATGATGCACTCCGACATCTTCGGACAATGCTGTTTCGACGTTTGTGGACTCACTGGTGGAACAGGCAGAAAAAAACCCTGATGTATGTAACTTAGTGCTTTTAACATTGATAAGGAACCATGTACTCACACTAAACCATTGGGTGGCATAACATATATCAGTGTGCCGAGTCGGATATACCTGGTAGATCTCGTATAACTGCCAGAGTTTGTACCTTGGCAACTTGGCTGCATTCCACTTTACTAACAACTAATCAAATGCATATTGATCCCAATGGATTCTATCTATTTTCTCAAAGAGAAGACTGCTCTGATCCTGTCATTTGGATCCTTTGCTCTGATCCTGTAATCTGGATCCTTTGCTCTGATCCTGTAACCTGGATTCTTCAAGTTCATGACATTTTGCTAGTGTACCTCAAGCCGCTACACAAACACAACCACTGTTCTCCTAACACTTACTCGCAGAACAAACATCTTTTTTTTCATAATTGCTTTTTCTGTTGGCTGCACGACCATGATAGCAGGACATGGACTTACCTTGTATGGTGTAGTGCTAGCATGGGAGTGGAAATTACATTTTTGGCGTGCAGCTTTTTTTTCAAAGGTTTCTCTGTATAATTATGTCAATGAAAAAGTGCTTTCTTATCCTCACTAGATCGTATGCAATGTACAGTGTATCCCAAGAATGCACTACTTGAAGTAGTAATGACTATGTGCACTCTGGGAATTATGATTTGGCTTCGCAACACACTGTACATGTTTGAACTTTTAGACATTCTCTTGCGTACCGTTACACTTGTTGTGCACTAGCTAAAACCTATGGCCCAGTATCTGCGAAAATGGACCTTAGGGTGATTTTTCACAAAATGACTTTTTTCTGCTGTTGTCATCTATAGGTATCTAGTGATCACATGGCAAAGTATTAGACCAAACAAAGCAATATTGATGACCCAGAAGCTTCTCAAACAAGCATACGTACATATCAGGAAATGCAACAATTTATCACAGTGTTTTCCACATCGGAATACTATGTGTTACAGTGAAATAAATAAAAATAGACAGTGTTATAAATCATCCATCCAGTTTTTGTTGTTAAACAACGCTTGCGAGTCTTGGGTAACTTCTGGCATAGAGCATGGATGGCCTTGATCCTCATCACTGCATACCAATGAAAACTGTTTGAATGTCATCCCAAGTCTGCTGAAAATCCAGAGAAGTGCAGAACAGGAGGGAGAGTGGCTACAACTACACCTAGAGTCCCAGTCTGTGCATCCCACAGGGAATACGACACAGGCACAACATTCTAACACCCTACACTTCATCTCATACACGATTTAGAGGTAGTCCATCACTGCTGCACCTCTGTGAAATTTGAGCTCTGTGAGAACTGGCTGCATGCGCGTCAGTGCGCCATGATTCCAGCACTGAGCGCAGAGTGTTCGTAGCTCATCAATCAATGTTCAGCTCTTGGCGTCTTGCCCTGTCCAAGGGGTTTGGTGTTCACCACGGAGTCCAGCGTGGGAGCCTGAGAAAATTCAGATCATGTCACTAGCGGCAGCGCTCTTTCGTCCTGACTCGAGTTGATCCAGGACATTTCAGTTCGTCTACCTCTGTTGCCGTCGCCTCACTAGTTTCTCCTCGTTGAGTATTTCTTCTGAGCAGAGCTGTACTAAATTCAGAAGGGCCCTACAAGGATTTTCAGATGTCAGAAAGTACTTTTGCCAGCAGAGAGCTCCTTTGGCGGTGCGCCTAAATCAAGTTGAAATTCTGGTCGCTAAAATTATATTAATAGGAATTGAGCGTCGACAAAAACATCTTCTGGAAACTGTCGTTGTTCTCTATCAGACGCGACGATTCCTGCCTAAGAAATCCAATGACTTCTGGCAGAGCCGGACCGCAGCTAGCTGGCCATTGTGAACGAACTCTCCTTCTACTAGGACGATCAAAAGCATTCATTGTTGCGATGAACACATTTTTTGTTTGAATGTGCAGAGCGCGAAGCAAGAGTTTTTTGCCGTTGCAGAAAATGACTTATTCTGAAAAAAATGATTTTCACCCGAAGGTCGATTCTCGCTGATACTGGGCCCTATCTGTTTCACAAATATTTCAATGGCTTTGTAACTCTTCCATTTCTTTCATAGTGAGGTGATTTCGAATGTACAATGACGGTGGTCACTTTTTATTGCCTCATACAGGCATATGCCGCTACTGCTGGATGTTTTCAATGAATGAAATTCCGCTATTCATTGTGTAGCTTATTTTTGGGGGCTGAATATTTAGAATATGCACCTATATTCTGGTTGAATATTCTTGTAGAAGCGAACTCTAGATGAATCAGAACTAGAAGACATGTCTCAGTTAATTTTAAAAATTCCGGGCGGTGCGTGGTATAATCACGCTCCAAATGGCAAAGACCAAGCCTTCCTAACCGAAACCTTCATCATGCAGGGCCTAGGGATCACCGTTTAAATGTGCTGGAGAGGATACAGCAGCTGGGTTTTGTGAGATCCGGTCATGGATTATACCGGCAGGTACTAGGTATGTAGAGACTACCACATCATACATCATGTACAAGCAGTACTTGCAATGTAGTAACCATGGTAACAATTAGTACAATGTGCAATGATGTACAGGAGATCTACTGAGTAGACCTCTACTACTACTACCTGACTACTAGTACTACTAGTAGTACTCATGAGTCATGGTACTAGGCTAGACTAAATCAGTCCCATGATCCCGATACCATGGATGCTATGTATTATCACCAGCCCAAGTCTCAGACTCAGAGACTCAGGCCGGGGTGTGGAGACCGGGACTACACTGAGTCTGTATGCCTCAGGCCATCTATTACTTGTACTTGTAGTTGTAGTATTAGTAGTATTACTGCGGATAGCCTATGCAGGGACTTGGGAGTATGGCTATGGTCTGGACGGGAAGATACAGACCGTCTGGGCATGCAGACATTGCAGTGCCAGCGTAGTGCTGTGAAAGACTAATGATTGTGAGTGTGATGTGTCGCTCGAGAAGAGGTGTGACTTTCGGCCAAGCATTCCTGGACTCACAGACTCAGTAGTCTGTTACTAGTATACTGTAGACCATGGTAGACAGTCAAGCCGTTGGCGGGGTCCGACAGCTCCGTCCGCACTAGCAAGTGCATGCCAGTTATGTAGCCTGTCACCGACACTAGTCTGTCACAGTGTCAGCGCGAACCTGGGCGCAGATCAGCTGCGAACCATAGATCTACGTTCTTACCTCCGTGTCGTTCGGCTCGCACTCTTGTTTCGGCCTTTCCGAAGAGAACCTCTTTCAAATCCTGAGACACGCTCATTTGGGTTATCTCTCTTCGAGAGTGACTCGAGAAGAAGTCGGTATGACGGACCAAACGGACGGACTGGCTGGTACGCCGGCTCAGCAAGCTGCAGCTAGAGCAGTTGCTAGAGGCTTTCGAGATAAGGTTAGTCTTCCGAACTCCGACGATGCCTTACATTCATGTAGTTCCTCTCCGAGTCTCCGTTCAAGTGTTCCCTTTCATTTCAAATCTTTTCCTGTTCGGTTCTTGGCTTTACCTGGCGGAAGGCTGTAAATTTGCTCCTTAGCAAGCCCTACGTTATTAGTCTTTACCGCAAAGCGCTCCGAACGCTCTAAGACTCTTCTTTCCTTGAAGACTACCCAATGAAGGCATTGGTGCAGCCTTTCATCCACAGTGACAAGTAAAATTCAACTAATACACGGTACACGGTTTGCTTGTTTGATACTTTCTTTTCCATTCAAGGCTTGTGCAATAGTGTAGGAAACTTGGAGCTGGAGTGAAGGGCGCGTGTTCACTCGCAACTGGGTACTCGGGAGTAGCTGCTAAATGTGTGTTTTCATTGTTACCGCATTCAAGGGCCGATGTTATTCACTGCATTAAATCATTCGAGCTGCAGTTAGTAGTCGGTGTTGTTCTGATTGCTGTTCCGCGGCTGCCATGTTCTGTGTTGATAGGTGAAGAAAATGGTTGACTCGGCTGGAGACCGTGCTCTGCTGTTTGAAGCATTGCGCACCTATCAGCAGTAAGACACATTTGTGCACCCACAATGCAATGGGAATACAGCCTCAATACACTGTGGATTTGTGGATTCACTTGGATCATGCAAGGTTTATAATAATACTAGCAGCATCCGGCCAGCGTTGCCTGGCCGAACGTGGCATGCGGGTGAAGCAAGTACATGAACAGCACACGTGCTCAGCACGTGGTGGTGGCTACACGATTCGCACGCTTCGCGTGCTCAGTGCTTCTGTGGCTGCTTCCGCTAGCTACACGATTCGCACGCTTCGCGTGCTCAGTGCTTCTGCGGCCGCTAGCTACACTGTTCGCACGCTTCGCGTGCTCAGGGCAGCGCTGCTCCGCAGCGCTTCTGCGTAACACACAGACAAACACACGTCACAGGTGCCTCTTCTTTATAGTATATATGTACTGTGCACATAGTAGATCTAAGTTGACTTCCCTCGACTTTCAATAAACCTGTCCAGTGCATGCTGAGCACAATCTCATCACATTTTGGAATATCTGGTCATCATAGTGTACATATTGTGCCCAAGTGACAGTTTGACATACGCAAGTGTGCCTGTCTTCTTGCTATTCCTGTATCCGTCCACACAGAAACATGGAAATTGAACAGTTGGTGGCTGCGTTGAGTGGTGTGTTGAATCATCCTGATCGACTGCCTCTATTCCATGACATCCGGTATGGTAGCCAACGTCCTCCTGTTGTGGTTGCTAAGAGTCAACTCTTTTGTGGTATAGGTACTTGAACACACTTTAAAATATGCATACACGTAAATAGTACACTGTTTGTTTTCATGGTAAGCTGTGTGAATACTCGCACTTTCTTGGTCTTCTTCTCCTCCTTGTTCATGGGCGTGCTGCCAGCCTGAAAGGTGAGACTTGTGAGTCTGAGTATGTTACATTGTGTCTCCTTTTTGGCCAACCCATCAACCTACTTTCTAGTTCATAGAAATGATCCTGACTGTCTTTCTCCCACATTGCGCAGGCTAATGATTCCACCCAGACAGCATCTCTCATACAATAGCATGGTACCGCCTCCACCAAGGTCAGTGCTGCTGTGTGCTAAACGCATTAATACCATTGCCCCCCCCCCCCCCATATGGTGATGTCTGTTTGGATGATTCTTCAAATTAACCAAGTCTGATCATTGTGTATTTGCATAGTTCGCTAGTACTGATTAGTTGAAACACAATTTTTACTTGTCTGAGTGTTTTTAACCAACAACCTAGGCAACTCAAGTCTCACATATCATGGTCATCTATATCATGGTGAATAAAAAATATTGTTCAACCCTGGCCACTGTTTTTGTGTCTGCGCTTTTTCCTTGTAGTAATAGCATGCGTGTTGTCACCTTGACACGGCATGGAAAGGAAGGATTTGGATTCAGCGTGCGTGGAGGTAAGGGCTCACCACTTCCTGTTCACAATTGTCTCAGACAATGAGAATAGGCAGTGAGAATAAGTAAGTAAAGCAAATTATCCTTGCCGTTTCCGAAGGGAACTCGCGACGGCCGCTGACACCCGACACGGTAACCCTAGCGGCAGATGCAAATACAGTGAGAATGGACTGTGAGTGAATTTCCGTGCATTAGCCGATCATGGGGTCGGAGTTGCTATGTTTTTTGTCCAAAATGATTGCGTTTTAAAACAGTTATATTGCCTTCATTGAACACTAATTTATCTCCTTCCCTTGGTTTTGTACTATGGTACCATGGTATGATCCTGCAGGCAAGGAGTATACTTGCGGCATGTACATCTCTTCAGTGAAGCTGGGATCTGCTGCCAGCAAAGCACAACTCAAGGTTTGTAATTCAGTGACTGAGGTGTAATACGCGACCGAGTGACAAGGCAAAACTGGTTCAGTCTCTCCGACTCAAAACACAAGTAGTACTCTCAGGGAACAATATTGCACGAAAAGACAAACGTAGGTAGCACAGAACTTATAGTATATTGAAAGACTCAAGTGAAGGTAAGACGACAGAAACAACGGAAGCAAAGACTCTGCAACAACTGAGCTGGGCAACTGACACACGGATCTATATACGGTACGAGATTGCCAGTTACAGCTCCGAGCGCTAGCTAGCGAATGAAAGCAAGGGATCTGATGGTGTCAGCAATGCATAGTGCAATACATAGTAATACATAGTGATTTGTGTAGGGGAAAATCTGTCTACTACATGAGGTTTTGACAAAATAATAAACGCTGTGTATTGAGCAGGGAGTGATTCTTTCTTTCAGCTTTGTTGAGTGGACGGATTGACGTGCTTCTCGTGTGCTCAAGTAGGCAGCCGTCAGTCAATTGTCCAGTGTCAGTCAGTCAGTCGGCAGACCTTCACTCCCTGTCTGCTGACAAACATGATGCGCTCTAACTGTTGATGCAGTCTTTATGTCGTGTGTTATTTAATTTAGACAGCTGCTCTTGTGTGCAGTCCTGCACAGGCCTGTACCCGTGTATACTTGGAGGTGCACTTACATGTATGTGTATGATGTCAATAGTTGTTGTTCCCCTGTCTCCTCGCTTGTAGGTAGGAGAGGAGCTAATCAGTGTGGATGGGTATCCTGTAACGGAGTTGATACATGAGGAGGTTCTCAATCTTCTGCGTGGTGCACGTTCGCTGCGTTTGAGACTAAAGGGTAGGTGGTAGTATGTAGCTTGTCTTACCATTGTTTTGTCTCCATCGGCCCGAGTTGCGTGACTTTGTTTTACAATCTACATGTACCTGGAATTTGAACTTCTTTTGTATTGTGTTGTTGCTGCTTCTACAGCCGTTTGCTTGTTGCCATACCAAAAGTAAGTAAAACCTCGAGCTCACCAAGTAAATAGTTTGATATACTGGTTGCCATGACTACGAGGTTCAGTAGGAAGCAGCTTAACATTCCTCTTCCCCTTAATGGTTTTGACCCGTGTTTACATGTGACTATGACTCGTGACTGCATGTGACTATGACTCGTGCCTGCATGTGACTCATGTTTATTACTCACTTTGATAAGACTTGATGATGTTCATGTCTTGTATATCAAGTTTTTACTACTCATAGCCCCCCCCCCCCTCATCATGAGTCCTCATGCTGGATAGTTTTTCATACTCTATTGTGTATGTGTATACAATTACACTGTTGTATCCACTTGGGTGTTTGGTTTGGTTTTGGTTTTTATTATTTCAGTTCGTTGCTTCAACAGTACAAAGTACAAATATCAAGAGGGACGAACGAAAAGAGAAAATAAAACAGAGCAGAGAGGAAGATGCAACTGAAAGGAAAGAAAAACGGAGAGAAACGGAGAAGGAATGTGGACTGGGCGGATTCATGAACCATTACTAGAGCAGGGCAATGCATGAACAGAAGGGGCAAGTCCGTCGATATTCATGTTTAAAAAATTCCAAGCCTTATTTTATCGGTGAAATACATTTCAAAAAGGAGGGGATATAGTCAATTTGTCGTCATTTAGAGCGTGCAAAAGTTCTGTAGAAAATGATCTAATGTCCTCACTTCCTTTCAAGTGAGCAGGGAGGGCATTCCACATAAGGGATGCTCTGGAGGAAAAGGAATTGTACCCTACCATGGATTTATACAAGCAAATTGACAAATTGTTTGTTGTAGTTCCACGAGTTGACCGCTTAGAGGTGGGCAAAGGGAAAAGACTGCGTAAGCATGATGCTGAGGCTGAACAATATGACAAATAAACGTAAACGTAAAAATGTATCGATATTCAAGGTGTTTTATTTGAAGAGAAGCAAGAAGGGGTGGTACAGCAGCATGATATGAAGCACCGCAGGTAACTCGTACAGCTCTACGGAACAAGGTAAACAATCTCTCCCTGGACTTTGCTGATAGGTGAGATGCGTAAACAGGGAAACAATACTCAGTCGGGATGAATCACACTAAGCAGGTACTGGCGACGGGCAAATGCTGCCATTTGGCGGAAGGTGCGTCGCAACGCGCCTATCTTGCGTGACACCTTGCTGGTGAGGTGATCTACGTGTGGAACAAATGAGAGCTTGTTATCGGTAAGTATACCAAGGCAGCGAATTACACTCACTTCCCTTAAGGTAGTGCCGCCCAGCTAAACAAGAACGGGTCTTTGTACGTCAGGAGCATTCTTCGGCAAGATCCTCATGACCACGGTTTTGTCAACATTAACGCTCATGCCCAGTGATCTTAGTTCATTGTGTAGCTTAGCGAGAGCCGAGGACACGACATCGGCGCATACTATTGGATCTCGTGAGGAAGCGTACAAAGTCTTGTCATCGGCAAACATGAGGAGCTTTGCACCGCTCCCTGCAGCCAGGTCAGGTAAGAGTCGCACATATAGGTTAAAAAGGGTGGGACCCAAGATTGTTCCCTGCGGAACCCCTCGGGTTACAGGGAGAAGAGATGATGTTCCAGAGGCTATACATACACGCTGGTACCGGCCGTTCAGGTAGGAAGCGAACCATTTCAGGGCAGAACTATGAATGCCTAAGCTGAGCAAAGTAAAGATAAGTTCCTGGTGCACAACTCGATCAAAGGCCTTGCTTAAATCAATAAATGCTACAATGGTTGTATGATCCACATCTCTAGCCAACGTCCAGTCATTTACAGCCAAGGTCATGACCTGCACTGTTGATCGCTGGGGCCGGAAGCCAAATTGATGATCGTGTAGACAAGTATACAGGTCGAAGTCCCGCAGCAGTTGGTCAAGGGCAAGACGTTCGAGCATTTTGCTGAGAATGCTCGTAAGCGACACTGGGCGATAGTTGGACGGAGAGGTGTGATCACCCTGCCGGGATTTAAGAATGGGGGTGATATTAGCGATTTTAAAAAGATGAGGGAAAGTCGAAGATTGAAGAGAAGTATTGAAGATGGCTGATATAGAAGGTGCAATAACATTGGATGTGGCCTTCAGGATACTGGGAAGAAGACAATCGGGTCCTGGTGCTTTGCTGCTGTCGAGGGAGGCAAGTCTTGCCCTGACGTCTGTTACAGTGACTTGCTTAAACATACCAAATGCAGATTGAGGCGGGGGTCCATCTGGGATGTCGTACCCGGGGTTTGGATCAGTCACTATCTTATGGAAGAAGGTGTTCAACTCGTCAGCTGCAACCGCAGGAGGGATGTGGGAACGACATCGATTAGTTATGTGGTTTATAGTGGACCACAACAGCTTTGGGCTCTGTTTATATTTTAGGCACACGTTCTGGAAATGGGAATTTCTAAGTCGACGGTAGAGATTGTTGCACCGAGTTCTCAGAGAGGTAAAACATCGCTGTAATGTAGTGTCAATGCAGCCACTGGCGCGATATCGATGAAAAGCTGATTTCCTCTGGCGGATGAGTGCCAAGAGCTCTGGGGTCATGAACGGGCAGTTCTTCTTGCGCGGTCTTGTGTGTCTACCAGGCTGTTTGTACGGCGCTACCACATCTAGAACAGTGTTGAATTTACCCAACCATTCGTCAAGCATTTGATCGACGTTTGTAGACGAGAACGAAGAAAAGTTTGCATGCTCAAGCAGACCTATTAACTCTGGGAAGTTGATGTTCCTATAGTCGCGGGTCTTCAAGGTAACATCCTAAGCAGGCAGTTGTGTATTGGACTTTACATCCAATGCTGCATAGACCAGATCATGATCGGAGAACTCGCAGGGAGACACTACTCCGTCTCTGACTGCAGCCAGATTTGTGAGGATATAGTCAATTGACGAAGCAGATGAGGGTGGTCCGTGTCGCAGAACAAACTTTGTTCAGGAGGTTAAGGGGAAGAAGTAGCGACGAGTGTAAGCTTTGATACATTGGCCTATTGGTCTGGAATGAATCAATGTTCAGGTCGCCTAGCAAGATAATATCCTCGCCCTGGATGTGGTGGACAAGCTCCTGAACACAGCTCCAAAATTTAGCATCGGCTGAAGGAGGACGATACAAACAGCCAAGAAGAAATGCTCTCCCAGTTATCTTTGCTGTAGAGCGCAGCCAAATCATCTCCATTCCATAGACCAGGATGTGTGTGTGTGTGTGTGTGTGTGTGTGTGTGTGTGTGTGTGTGTGTGTGTGTGTGTGTGTAACGGACTCTATTACTATGTGGCCGACGTAGAGAGCATACCGGACAGCTTCTGCGACTGCCTCGGCGGTCTGCTCAGCGTAACAGCACAGAACATCACACTGGAGATAGAAGGGCTGAATGGGCATCGGCTTGATCGCCCGCTGACTACGTTTGCGGTGAACAGCTCCAAGCCGAACTGCTACACCGTACAGATACCCGATATCTATAGTGAGGAATCCAAGGACATTCTGGTAGATGTAGCGCTGTGCATCAAGGGTGAATTTGACCTGGACAACCCCAGACCAGTCCCGACCGAGGTACTCCAATGTCACGTCAGTTACTTCGATGTGTTGACGTGCAAGATCTGCAACGTTGAGGCAACGGCGTGTGTCTCTATCCTACCACCAGCTATAACTGCGGAAGAGCTGGGCATGGAGCTCGAGGAGAAGCTGACGATTGCCGACACTGACGTGGCCCTGCAGCGTATCCGCCAGTCGACCAACATTGCCTTGCGTGACGCGGACCGACTGGCGTCGGGTAACGACCGAGCGGGAGCCGTCGAGCAAATTGACCGTTGTGTTCGGGTCATCGAGACGTCTCCACTCTCACAGGACACATTTGCACAACATCAAATGATGACCCTACTGACGGCCAAGGCCGGCATCTCTGATCAACGTGAGTACAAGCGCTTCGGAGCCAAGCACGTGCGCGGCCTGGTGCACGCCAACGAGCAGCAGCGCTCCAACACCAATCCTGTCATTCCGAGCCCCGCGTCCATGGCCGCTGCTGCCTCTGCATCTAGGCCTGCCTACAGTGTTCCAATGCCGCCACCGCTTCCCAGCCAAGCAGCGGCAGCGTCATACTTGGGTTCATCAGCTTCGGCAGCGGCACCGTACGCGGTATCGGACGCACCGCCGCCAGCCTACGCAAAGCCCTACAGTCCATACCGAAAGAAAGCCAAGGTCGAAATGATGGATGAATGGAAGAAGCACAAGGGAAAGAAAGAGGAGGAGGAGTAAGTGGCTGATGAGAATCTTCTCTGCCGCAGTACCGTAGTCCGTATCGATTTTCCTGAAATGGAACTTTGACGCGCGAATGCAAACTGTCCCACATGGAATTAACTCACTGTACTGTACTGGAGGTGATTCCGTTGCCGGTGTGTGTGTGTGTGTGTGTGTGTGTGTGTGTGTGTGTGTGTGTGTGTGTGTGTGTGTGTGTGTGTGTGTGTCCCATATGGTGCAGTGGTATGTGCAGCGATTTCCAATCGATAGATTGCGGGTTCGATTCCCGACGATTATGGTCACACACGTCTTTCTTCTCTTTCTCAGACTCTTCCTGGCTTTTCTTTCATTCTCCTGGGTGGTTACCAACAGCCAGTGCATGCCGGAGTATGTGGTGTGATGTGTGTGCGGGAAAAAAAAAAAAAAAAAAAATGAAAAAGACCAAAAAAGGGATTCACTGGCCAGAAAATGTCACTCCAAATAGCTGTATGGTGTAGACCAGGCTGAATAGTGACGGTCAATTCTTCAGCCTTGCAAGCTGTTGAATGGTGTAATCCCAGCACAAGTTGCTATGGCTTCTGCCGTAGCATTGCTATCATCGCCTCAAAGGTCAAAGGTGTGTGTGTGTGTGTGTGTGTGTGTGTGTGTGTGTGTGTGTGTGAACTGTCATATCTATACAGTGACGGCGATGATAATATCTACTGGCAGTTGATTGGAGCTGATGGCAATCCACATGATCCAAAAGAACCTGGCACAGATGACGATGATGAGGGCAAGGTAGGTGCTTATTGTCAGTGAGGAATGAACCCAAGTTGTACATTTTTTGGTTTCTACCCCCCCCCCCCCAGGCGCGTGCACCGGGTAAAAAAAGGTGGTTTCCAAAAAATTTCGACCGCCATTTTGCAATAAGCTACCTGCAGATTCCCCCCCCCCCCCCACCACCACCAATCGATGGTTAGATGTGAGATTCACTGTGTGATAGGAGTACAATGTACTTGATATTATTCAAAATTTCAAACAGTACACAGATCACAATAGGAACATACTGTTGATGTGTCCTCTTGTATGTCCTGTTGGAATGAAGGAAAGCCTTGGTCTGGCTGTACTAGCACCGGGAGAGCGGAGAGTTACCATAACCAAAGATGGACAGCCACTGGGATGTGGGTAAGCTGGACAAATGCGTTTGTCATACTTTAGTAGTTGAATCCATGCAATGAACAGGAACGCTCTGGACCTTTATGCTGCTGACTAAAGTCACAGTAGTTTCACAGCAACAATCATAGCAAACAGGTCAGTTATGCAAGTTCTCTTACCTAGTAGGAAGGAGCTGCTGTATTTGTACAGAGTGAGTATAGCCTGTACAGCGGGGTGACTAAAGCACATGTGTCACAGTGTACAACGCAAATCGCTTGCCTTGCTCTACTGTGTTTGCAGCATTGTTGGAGGAAGTCAATTGCGAAAGGGTATATTTGTTGCAGCGGTGCAAGAAGGAGGTCTAGCATTCAATGCTGGACTACAGGTAAGAATCCTACTCAGCCATGTGTTAATGTAGCATGTTGACAATACCGCGTCCATGCTACCATGGACTGGGCACATCAGGAAGTGTTTTGTTTGTATAATTATTTGCATATGCTCCTCAGTATTGATCACCGTCTGTGCGTTTAATTTCCTGAAACCTGAAACTATTGATTAACCCTTTCAGCACGGCCAGGGTGTGTAACTGACCCGCGGAGCCAAAACCAGTGATTTTCGTGATTTTCCAAAAGTAGTCCTATTCACTCACAATTTTTTCTGCGGAATGCATGTTCGCATGCGACATCTATGTACTAGTACGCGTGCATAGCGGCACACGTGCGCCCGTCAGTACTATCGTGGAACAGTCGACGTTCATCCAGCACGCCACTGGTCCACGTAGGGATAAGACCCGTCGACCACGGATGTCTCGGGAGTACGTTCATTTTCACTGTGCGCATCACGTATATATACGTGATCCGTGGGCCAGTTACATGTACCATCACGTATATATATGTTGGACTCAGTAGAGCGTCCAGCCCCTATATGATGTCCAACCCCTATATAGAGTCCATTGGTCCAAAATCCACTGTACAGAGTCCAAACTTGGAATCAACTGAGAGCTCAAAGTTTAGATGAACATCACTCCCTGTATAGAGTCCAGCCAATTGGCTTCACCCCTATATAGTGTCCATTGGTCCAAAATCAACTGTACGGAGTCCAAACTATGAAATCAACTATAAAGAGTCTTTATGTGGACAACACTTCCTGTATAAAGTCCAGCCAATTAGGCATCCCCTATCCAGAGTTCGAAATTAGACATAGGATCTGCTGTAAGCAGTGAATATTAACCAGAAAACGGCCTCTCCCTTTAATCCTTTACATCATTCACTTCTCAAGATAAATAATAAGTAGAGGCGCCACTGCAGCCACTTCATTACATGAAAACCCTACAAACACCATCCTCAAATCAAGTGGTCTCTTCGCAGACGCTGCAAATTACAATATCTCAATCATGTAGTGTTGCCAAATTATTGTACACGCACACACCCACACAACGCCAAGAAAATACCTAGAAAAAAACCAAGAATCGAAAGATAATAATGGAGAGCCAAGGATTAATTATTTGTTTTCAAATCATTGTGCGTGCGCACAGACACACACACAAACTTATACAACGGCAAGAAAACACCAAGAAAAGAGTAGAGACACAATACACACGCAACTCCAACAGCCATGCAAACGTCCACCCATTTACACGTAAAGTCAAGAGGGATAACAAATAATTATACGAAACGAATACATACGTGGCCGTGGGCGGATGCACGCACGTTTACATACATGTACATGTAGTAGTGTAAGAGAGTAACATAGTGCAGTAGTCAGCACAATACTAGCACATGCTGAGAGTGCAATAGCAAGCTTCACCATTGCTCATGGCCATGCAAATGTTCAGCAGCACTCAGTTCCGCAAGCTTCTGAAGATCAGCACACCTGCAACAAATAGATAACACAAGGATACGCTTATTACCGTAATGATGCATGGGAGCACACAACTACCAAGTTCTCAACGAATGTGATGCTCAATGAAAATCCATCCACTCAAAGACCTGTGAACAGGTGACGGTGGGGACAATAATCTATTAGTAATACGAGGAATAAGATCGTTTGTGCACACTCAAGCCGCACAGACACACCACCATACATGTAGTGTACACAGTGTTTCACTTCACTGCAACTAAATTGAAATGAGATGATTTGAACAATCTGTACAGCGTTGCCGTCAGTCAGTCTTCCCCGAGATGGAAATGCAATGATTTGTTGTCACGAGGCAGTTTCACTGACACAGTGTCATGTTTGTCACATCAAAAAGGTTACTTCATGGAATACGAGTACATGTATTAGCTTGAGAAGCTTTTTCTTGTCATCGGCATACAAGAAATCCTCCTCCTACTACTACTAGTACACTGGCACTGCGTTTGTGGATCCCATTGTATTTGACATCATACTAGAGCCTTAGTAGAGGAAGAGTGTCGTGGAGTTCACATAATTATCATAGGGATGAAAATACATTTCTCATGAAATAAAATAACAATTGATGATAGCTAGACGATCGTATACGATTGATGCAAAGTCCTTGAAGTCCCTGAGGATTATTACGAAGTGGTTGATTACTTTTAGGGCATTCATTCAAGCAACATCAAACAAACGCGATATGCTCCTTGAAAATGTAAAAAAAACTCAAGCATATTACGACAGAACAGCAGACCAATCGAAGCGAGTAAAAGCTTCCTTACCTCAGTCATCGTCCTGCCATGTAGTTGGACAGCCTTTTGACACGGTGGTACAGGCAGCTCTTGTCCAGACAAACAGGATATCCTTGTGGCGTCGAACGAAAGAGAGTGTCAGTGTATCTGACTCGTCAGATTGGAACTGTGCTGAACTTTTCTCGTTCTCCGCTTTCTGCTTTCATCCCTCGCTCTGATGAAACCGTTCAAACGTCTTACTGGCAGCAATGGCCAGCCAAACAGGGGATCCTTGTGGCGTCGAACGAAAGAGAGTGTCGGTGTACCTGACTCGTCAGATTTGAACTGTGCTGAACTTTTTTTCGTTCTGCAATTTCTGCTTTCATCCCGCGCACTGATGAAACGTCTTCCGAGAACCACATGAGGCTTTCCAGATTTCATTTTGAACATCTCCTTATCCTCCTTGGTTACCTCGAGACAGATTACTGTCAGCAACTGCACAGCAGAACTGGAAGCCATGGCTGAAGTGAAGAAAGTAATGCGCTGCCACGAGGCAAGCAAAACTGAAAAGGTGTTTGTTCTCTTTTGGGCACAACTCACAGGACGGCGTGACTGGATAAACTGGACTCCTGGACCGTGAATAGGGGACTTGTAGAAAAAGTGTACTCCTTATAGGGGATTGCGCGGCAGGATGAAGCTGATCAAAACTGAGTGTACTCCTGGACTCTGTATAGTGGATTTTGGACCAATGGACTCTATATAGGGTGCTGGACATCGTATAGAGCATGGACTCTATACTGAGTCCTACATATACGTGATGTGTGCTGAAAGGGTTAACTGTATGTCACCCTCATGTTTTATGTATACTGTATTGACTCGCCTTGTGTTTATGCCGTGCTGCAGAACAACGACCAGATCACATCTGTGAATGGGTTCAGTTTCAAAGATCTCAAACATTCCGAGGTAACTATCTGTCACTGAGTGTGCCAACATGGTATGATATCCTTGCATGATCTGCTGTGTCAGCCACTTTATTATTGTCTGTATTCAGTGCGGTGGAAGCGGGCATGATCCATCTGCCTTGTGTATGTGTGCATGTGCGTGTGTGTGTGTGTGCGCGCGTGTGTGTGTGTGTGTGTGTGTGTGTGTGTGTGTGTGTGTGTATGTACATGTGTGTGTGTGTGTGTGTGTGTGTGTGTGTGTGTGTCTGCATGTGTGTGTGTGTGATGCTCTGCTGCAGGCTGTACGTGTGCTCAAGTCCAGCAACGTTCTCGTTGTCACTGTGAAGTCTGAGAAGGTATTGTTTGAGCAACACACTAACTTTCTGTAGCTTAGAGCTAAGTTGCCTGACCCATTTTCAGTGATGAGCGTACAGAACTTGCCATGGTGGCTGCTTCTAACGTTGGATCTCACACTTCCCGCCGACTGACATGACATTGGACTGACTCACGACTGCCATCTAGAGCGCACGAGAAGCCCGCAGGAAATCTTTCATGCAGGAAATCTTTCATGCAGGAAATCTTTTATGCAGGAAACCTACATGAAAACACCACACTCCGTTCAATACACCATGTTTCGGAGAATTCACCCTTCATCAGTTGAGCTTGAGTAGGCCGCTATTTGGATTTGCTCTCCAAGAGCACTGTATTATGCACATACTGTAAAAAAATGTAGTGCTCTTCGAGCCAAAGCATTACAATACCAACTTAGAGCAGAGGTAAATTTCCAGCGTAACAAACACCTCGTAGGTACTAAACGGCGGCGTGTGTCAGTGTAGAAGAGATGCCGAGAGCCATTGATCCTTAGTTTGTAACGCCTACTACGGTTGTCCATCAAGCAGAAATGCAACTAGATGGAAGTAGCACCGTTGCGAATGGTCACAATACCGTAGTGGAAGTTACCCTAATGACCTAGGTCTACTCCGTACAGAAAAGTAGACCAATGCAAAGTAAAGCAATCACGGTGGGCTGAGTCTGATCATCGTCATTGTAACGGTTAGGCACAAAGGCAAATACTTTCTAACTATCTTATGACCATTGGAAAACGTAACAAAATTTTCTTGAATTTGTACTCCTTTCAGGATCGAGAGCAGCAAGAAAAATGGGAGCAGCAAATGGGGCAACTGCAAGAGGAGCGTCTTTTGGAGTTTGCCCAGGAGCGACCGAACACAGAAGAGAAAACCTTCTACATCTCGCCCCAGTTTGCTGGGAATCCTCTTGAAGCTCAAGGTCAGACCTACTACATACACTGTACACTGGTTATGATTAGTGTACGTTTACAGTGAATTAGCGAGTTCTGTATTTTAAAAGGTATGAGTAATATACACGTGCAAGACCAACTGCAACAACAGCAGCAGCAGCCGCAGTAGGGACAACACACATCATATTTTTATTCCCGTAGCTATGCAGAAGACGTTACTTCAGTAACGTCTGGCGCTAGCCAGGGTCCACGCAGCTTTAATTTGGTATTTGTGTGTTTGTTTGTGTCACGCCTGGCGCTATCCCGTATCTGACGGCAAAAAATCATAGGGATGTTATAAATTTTTCAATTCTCCTATTTTTTTCAGGCATATCCTGGGATTCGAACCCGCACTATCGCCCTACATGCATTCCCCCATACACTTCGCATTCATACCCATTCTTCCAAGTTGCTTCACGTTATGATCTTGCGTTTGAAAGCCCTATTTGAATATTGCGGGCAGCTGTATGTGGCCAGCTGTGTTTGATGGTACGGTACGGGAGACGGTGTCGTATTACCCTCGATCGTACCTGTCCCGTACCTATCCCTACCGTACCGTACCATCAAAGACGGCTGGCCACAATGCATATTCAAAAAGGGCTTTCGAATGCAAGATCATAATGTGAAGCAACTTGGAAGAATTAGTATGTATGAAGTGTATCGGGGGATGCATGCAGGGCGTGATAGTGCGGGTTCGAATCCCAGGTTATGTCTTAAAAAAAGGAATTTTTTATAGAATTTATAACATCGCTATGCTTTTTTTTGTCTAGGTCATCAAGGCAAAAAAGCATAGCGTAGGGCCCTGAGCTTCCAAGCTCTCTCGTTTTTACTTACCCAATCAGTAGCAAGACCTCCAGCAGCACCTAAAATTAATAACGACCACCAGCAGCAGCAGCAACAGCAGCAGCAGCAGCAGCAGCAGCAGCAGCAGCAAGGTTCATACTGATATTCTACTAGCTGCGCTATAGTCCCACACCTTTGGATACACACCCTTTGGATACACACCCTTTGGATACACACCCGCTATCAGTAAATATGACCTAGTCCTTTCTCATACTTGTTAGTACATACGTAAAGTACCGTAAAGTCGCGGATAAAAGCCGGGTTTGCATACAAGCACATCGCGGATAGAAGCCTGAAAATCAAACGAGTCAATGCATATTAAAGCCTGTCGCGCGTAGAAGCCTGGCTTCTATGCAAGCGCGGATCGGGTAGGTCAAGAGTGCATGCGCTATGTACAGACAGTGCATAGTAAAACTGTGGCCATACCGGTAGTCAGTGGTAGATCTACGCGTGTGGCTTCTATGCAAGCCCGGATCGGCCGATGTGCATACAAGCCTGGCAAAAATATCAGTGGTGCCTATAAGCATGGTTTGCATACAAGCCTGGTTTGCATTGAAGCCTGATGCAGAAAGCGGCTTATGTGCTTATAAGCCCGGCTTTTATCCGCGACTTTACGGTACTCATTGTGGGACTATGTGGTGTGCATGTGTGCACATGTGTGTTTGCGCTTGTGCATGTGTGATCTGCGCAACTCTGTGTTTATATGTGTTGGTGCTGGCTACAGTCAATGCTCCCAATCCCTATGCAGAGGCAAGCCAGGATGATGATTTAGGTGACATAGACCTTTACAACACCGAGAATGTATCCAGCGATGAAGACGATGACAATGAAAGTGCTAGTGCGGAAGCTCCTAGGAACAAAGATCCCAAGCCACAACAGACAGCATCAGCAACAGCAGAAGCAGCCGCAGAAGCAAGTGATACAAGTGAAGATAGCAGTGCCACAAGCACTGTGGTGCAGAGTCATCTTCAACGCATGTATATCGAGCAGCAGAAGGAAAGACATGCCCGAATTCACAAGAGCAGTACACAACGACTACAGCTCATGCAGGAGGTCAGACAACTTCGCAAAACCGATGACGCGGCGAAGGAGGGCGATGCTGAGGCTACACAAAGCAAAGAAGATGACACTTCAAAGCAAGGATCAGCTTCCACAGCCGACACCGCTTCAGAGCAAGCACCAACTTCCACAGCGGCAGTGGTCAAGATGGTGAAGGAAGAAGCTGTGTATGAGGAAGCCAAAATTGTCACCATGCCAAAGTCCTATGTGGCAGAGAAAGGCAGTGCACACATCCGCTCAGCATCGCTAGCTGAAGTAGCTGAAGTTGGCAAGGCAACTGCACTTGCAGAGCAGGGTAAGGTTACATCTTTAGAATAGATTGGCACGTAGTGTTTGTCTCAAGAATGAAGTTCAATTGTTCCTAATCTGTTGGCTGATGAGCTATGTGATAAATCTACACTGTCCTGTTAGATGTACAAGCTGGAGCAGCCATTCCTGCTGGATTCAGTGATGCTGCTGGCAATGATACCAGTAGTGAACAAGGTCCAAACCTACCACCTAGAAACACTGGCAGCCTGACCAAGGAAACAACAGCAGCAGCAGCAGCAACGACAACGGCTGCTAGCCTGTCACCAAGATACAGCACAGTAAACAAGAACAGGAAGAAGCAAGAGTCAACACAGCAGCTCCTTGACCAGCCACAGAAGCAAGTGCAACAAAATAAGGCTGGCAAACATCAGCATGAAGAAGAGCCACCACCGCTGAGACCACCTCAACATGCAGCAGATGGTCAAGTGGCAATACAGAGAGATGGTGTGAATACACAACCAGCTGAGGTAGGTAACACTGGCACTATGGTCCCAAATGAACTCTGTGTGTATATGTGTATGTGTGTATGTTGGTTGGTGTATGTACGTGTGGGTGCGAAGATATGTTTGTTGGTTGGTGTATGTACGTATGGGTGCGTGGGTACCACATTATCCGGAGTGTAAGTTGCACTTTGAACACTCAAAATTTACCCGAAAAGGGGGTGCGGCTTATACTCCGTTGATCAAATTAATGGTGATAAATAAGGTAGTTTGTATTTCGTGGCAAAAAAAATGGTGGCGCGGCTTGTACTCCAATGCGGCCTATACTCCGGAAAATACGGTACGTGTGTGCATATGTGCATGTATGTGCTTGCATGGTGCTGTACCTGAGGGTGTGCGAGTAGGTACCTTTCCTGTTCCGACAATGAATTTAATAATAATAATATTAATATTGCAGAGCTCACTGACTTGTCAGTTTGAGCACTCTGGCAAGGTACGTTCGGGCCTGATCGGAAATTTTTATTTCCATTGCTTTCAGGTTCGGCCTCATTTTCTCTGTGCTGCGCTGATGAGTTCAAAAAGAACGAAACAGCATGCTGTCCGCAGATTGAGTAATAATAATATTATGTTTTTTGTTTGTTGGACTCATCACCATTGATTGAGCTAAGCTAGCTGGCATAATACTCTTTGTGCATGCTATCTTCTATGCAGGCCACAGCCACTACCGTTCCAGATAATGGCAAGCCACAGACACTAGCATACACACAAGTAGAAGTGAAGTCATCTGGATCATCTGGATCAAAACCATCGCTAGCTGAGAAGCCAGTACCCAGTCCGAAATCTAAAAAGAAAGTAGTGGTAAGTACTGGTAAGGCCCTCTTCAGACTAGGTACAAAACAGCCTAGGCCCTCTTCAGACTAGGTACAAAACAGCCTATAAGTCACATTTACATAGAAGTTTCCAAGACAACAACAAGACTCTGGTGGGAAGCCTAAAAAGCTTCCCGATCCTTTCAGGCAGGGTGCGAACCCTTGTACAAGGCAACTTTCCTGCATTTATCGTACTTTCACCAGCCAGTCGTACAAACATACAAACTTTGTACCCGGGTACGACTTTCACACATCCCAGGCCCCTTCCACGTAGGGTCAAAGGTTGCCTGCATATTGCATATAAAATGTGTAGTCTAGGCGTGGAAAAATGTTGCCTTTTAGGTTTTATGTGATTATGTACGGGATGTTCTATGTACGTAGTCTGTAGACGCCCTAAGACTTCTTGTAATCAAATTAAGTACGGATGCTGCAGCATTCTATTCATTGTGATGATATTTTAGCTCCTGTGTCTACGGCACACAGTCGGCCTTGCTTCGATAGGCCAAGTGTAATCTACAAGTCGAATGTAGTGGGGCATAGATCAGTATTAGGACTGCACTAGGTTCAAATCGCGAGGAGTTGTAGATTGAAGTACGTGCATGTTGGTGGTGTCTCTACGCCCGGTTGAATGGAGGTTAAATAATTAAACATAATAATTATCTTCTTCCCCGGCTAATGCTTCAAGTACAACAAGCTTGTAAATGCAGTAATCAGTGACTGGACTCTGGTGCATACAAATCTACTGTTATGGCTTTTTTCAAGCTGAGTGGTTTTTCCCCTTCCATGCTCAATTGGTCTAGTTGGTTGATAGCCCAGCGGAAGCAAAGAAGACACCGTATGCCACGGTAACCGTTGTAGCAACTGAAGAAACGGCCCGTCACTCACCGCCCCCACCCAGTGCTGCTGTGGCACACAAATCCTCTCTCAAGACCTCACAGGACAAGGATGCCGCCGTAAGATTCTTCAACTCTGTATGTGCTTGCGTGTGGCACACATGTATTGCAGTTAAACAGCATTGCAGGTGCACCGAGAGAACCTCAATGGAATGGTGGTATATGAAGTGATGTATTGCCTGGAAATTCCGCAGAGTGTACATCTGGAGCATAATGGGTGGCAAATGTCTTGGCAATGCTCAATACTCCGTCAAGTAACTTAGCGAATGGGACATCCCCGGCATCTAAACTTGATAATCGCGAGAACTTCCCAATGTCGTAATAATGTCATTGAACTATGTGTGGCTGGTTTTTACCTTATTATAATTAATGGTATAGTTGTGCTAGAATTTATGTGGAAATCTACTAATGTCACTGGTTATTACAATGCATTGCCACTGGTGCTGCTTTTTGCCAGGTTGCTGTGAGAAAGACAAAACCAAGAATGAAGAAGCAGGCATCTTTTGCTACGGAGTAAGCAATAGCAATGTGTGAATAATGCGTGCTATGCTGTCAGGTGTGTGTGTGTGTGGGGGGGGGGGGGTGTGCGTGCGTGTGTGTGCGTGTTTGCGTGTGTGTGCGTGTTTGCGTGTGTGTATGTGTGCGTATGAGTATGTTTGTGTGTGTGTATGTGTCTGTGTGTCTGTGTGTCTGTGTGTGTGTGTAGCATTGCGCGCGCGCAATGATATCAGGTGTGTGCATGTGTGTAAATACCCCTTCATATCTGGTGAAGGGGAATTCCCAGTTTCTGTGTGAAGGAAGGTTAGCGCATGCTCCTTACGCACAGGCACACACAAACCATATACAGCCACGGCAAGTGTTGGTTGGCACTGCAGGGTAACTGGGCGAAGGAGCTTGCAGGGTGTAACCATGGAGGCGGCCAAGAATGAGACCGAAAAGGCGGCTGACCTGCCAAGGGCAGTAATCGAATAGAGTGATCCGGAGAAAGTCGAGTTCAGTGCCCCAGTCCCTGGTTGTTTGGTTACCAGAGTGAGGTTGGAAGACAATGGAGGTGAGTTACAGAGTAGTATAGACAGAACAGGTAACAGAATGAGCATTGTAACACAATGAAATTGGTCACGGTGGGTGAAAAAAGACCGAGCAAGACGGTCACGCAAGCCAATGCAACTAGCTAAGAGAGCCAGGCAAGAAGGCTGCTGAAATGTGTACGTATGCAAAGCGAGCTGCTGGGAGAGTTTGAGCATGTGCACAACGGCGCATCCGCTACCTGTGGTCAGCATCCTGGCCTATAGCACACTTTATCTGTGAGCATTGCAAGTCCGTCATTGTTGCTGTGTCGGTTGTGTCCTTGTCCAGTGTGGAGTGTGTTGTCATCAAACCTCCGGACAGCAGGCACCTATCCATGAACTTGGAGGAATTGGAAGCTGTAAATCCCAGCAACCTAGAAGTATGTCATCTTTGCTCCGGACTATCCATGCTATTGTGCTGCTGATCTGGTACCCAATTATGTAGTCTCACAGTACACCATGCATGGCACTCTACCGTGAGTCCGGTGCTGAAGAAATTGAATGACGTTAGTGAAGAGACATTTTAAAAAAGGAGCTGATGTACATTATAGTTACTGTAGTTGTGTACAGTAACAGTGTACCTCCATGTTGTGTGTGTGTGCGTGTGTGTGTGCGTGTGTGTGTGTGTGTGTGTGTGTGTGTGTGTGTGTGTGCATGTGTGTGTGTATGTGTGTACATGTGTGTGTGCGTGTGCATTTGCACGTGTGTGTACAATGTGTGTACAATGTGAGTGTGCATGCACGTGTGTGTAAACATGGGTGTGTGAGTGTGTACCGTATTATCTCTAATATAAGCACAGTCTCCAATAATATCACGTCTCCAATAATAGATCACCTTGGGGCGGCATTCAAGAAAATAAAGTGCTCAGTCTCCATTATAAGCACACTGTGTAAATTCATTATCTGTACCGGCGAAAAAAACCCTGAAATGTGTTTGTCTGACATGAAGTTGGCATGGCAACATGCCTCTGAAATGAGGTTGAAATAATAATGGAACAGTCTCCAATAAAGGAACGTCTCCATTAATAGCACGGGGCAGACGTACATTGAAAAAAATAAAGGACCGTGCTTATATTAGAGATAATACGGTATGTGTGTCAAGTAGGAAATCAGTACGCTCCAGAGCTTATGGTGTTACTTGAAGTATGTATACCATTTATTTCATTTTCCCTATGCCTACAGTTTGGAGAGGATGTGTTGCAAGGCCGTAAAGCAGAGTTCCACTCCATTCCCAAGGTAAAACTACCGTAATCGTGTCTGTTTCTTGATGGAGGGCCAGAGTTGCTAGGAATGAGTCATAGTTGTCATGAAGTGTTAATTAAGCCAACAGCATGACTTTCCACTGTAACACTGCACAACCAAACATTTGTTAGGGATTCATCGTCATGCAAAAAATTACTCAAGAGGAACAGTTAACAGTAAAGCCGAGTTCCACTCCATTCCCAAGGTAAAACTACCGTAATCGTGTCTGTTTCTTGATGGAGGGCCAGAGTTGCTAGGAATAAGTCATAGTTGTCATGAAGTGTTAATTAAGCCAACAGCATGACTTTCCACTGTAACACTGCTCAACCAAACATTTGTTAGGGATTCATCGTCATGCAAAAAATTACTCAAGAGGAACAGTTATTCCTAACTAAAAGTTGAGCGGGAATGCTACTTGGTGAAATCTCAGTCTTTCCTGTGAAATTGACAAAACTAAGGTCCTAGGAAGCACCGGTTGAGATTGACTTCTATTCATCAGTTGAGAATTAAGAAAGGGAAAAATATCTGAAGTAAAACTGTCCCCACCAGCACTCGAACCAGCGTCCTTCGCTTTAAGGCTGATTCATACTTCACTTTCAGCTTCCGACGTTGCATGGGCTTCGCAAGCCATCGCAAACACCAGAACGCAAAAGTTGAGCCAAGGTCAACTTTTCGCAATAGCGATGCGATACGATAGTGCATCACGCATGGTGAATCATGGGTGCTACAAACGTGAGTGCAAGTGCAGCGCTGTGCCGCAAGTCCACAACTTTGCCAAAGCATCTGAACTGATGATGTAACCGCATAACCACTTTACCCACACATTCCACGCACAAACACGTACATGCAGAGCCCCAATGCATGAAATTTTTATTGACTGCCATGACCAGGACTTTGTATTGGACTTCTAAGGAATATTTTCAATACTGTATGTACTTCTACCATAGAGGATATTAGCTGCTGTGAATGAGTATTGTTACGTTAGTCGCATGTGGTCACACATGTAGGAGTTGTGCTATAGTTGCAGCATTCCTCAGAGCAGTAATTGCTGGAATACTGACAATTAAACTGAGCTGTGCCAGCCTCTAATAACTGATGCTGCTGTGTTGTATGTACTGCTATTCATGTGCATGTGTGTGTGTGTGTGTGTGTGTACTGCTATGTATGTGCCACCATGCAGGACGGTCCACTAGGAATCAAGCTACGCGGTGGAGTCGGCACAAGCACCGGAGGGAAAATCCTAATTGCTGGCATCAATGATGACGGGGCCGTTGGAAGATATGGTATGCGGTTATTGAAATTAGAGTGTTCTGGGAAAATTGAAAATTGTCAACCAAAGGAAATGTGTGACTTTGAGAAGCAGAGTGACACTTGTTCAGTGTTGTGTGCCGAACTGACAGTGATGTTGATCTAAAGGATCTAAAGGCCGTTAGAAATGATCCATTCTTACTTGACACTGTAAGTACATTCTGGCTTTGTAAAGAGTTTTAGAGTCTATGTATGGTAGCTCTCGTCCAGAAGACAGTGAAATACATGTATATGCTGTCGTGGTACACTATTCTGAGTGGACCAGATGCAGCCTGGAAAAGATATTACTGAGTTCACTGCATATTGCACTACAGAAAATCATGCCCTGGGGAAGATACATTTTGATCGCAAGCTTCTGATAAGCCACTCTTGCTAGGCTCTCCCAACTTGATCAGGACAACCAGCCCGCCCAGGCCGAGAGGTTGGGAAGACAGTGGCACAGTAAAAGCGGCCAGGCACAGCCTGATGGAGAGACAGATGGAGAGACAGATGGAGAGACAGATGGAGAGACAGATGGAGAGACAGATGGAGAGACAGATGGAGAGACAGATGGAGAGAGTGAGACGGAGAGAAAGTGAGTGGGAGGGAAAGTGAGATGGAGAGAAAGGGAGAGAGAGGGAGAGAGAAAGAGGGAGATGGAGAGAGGTGGAGAGAGAAGAGGAACAGAGTGAGAGGACCAGAGAGAGAGAAGAGAGAGGTAGTACTGATTATAGTGTCAACCTTACGGTACTGCACACAAACATGTACTTCAAAAGTAATATTCTTCGATTTATTTATCCTCTATTTCAGGAAAACTTCATGCTGGAGATCAGATACTGATGGTAGATGGAACAAGCTTCATTGACATTGGCCAGAAAGAAGCAACTCAAGCACTCCATGAGGCGATGCAATGGGAAACGGTGAGAATTCTTTCCGAATAACTGTTTAATATGATCATGCTGCTTTGGTGAATTTGATCAAGCTGCCGTACAGTTGATTTAGTGAATTTATTCTTACCTGGAGGAACAGGCGAAGCACCAGTGAGGTACATGCACAGTATTCCAATTGGGGAAGTGGTAGTGCGTTTTTTGCAAGCTCATGCGTTCACAGAAGAATGTCACTGAAAACTTCTCCACTTTATTCACATGTACTTGTACTGTGCATCTTTATGTCCAGGAGTGTATTGACGTGGTGGTAGCAACACAGCACGGTACATAGTTTGCTGATAGTGCCACAACTCCTCTACAATTTTGTAGTATGTATGCTATTGCCGTATGAGAAGACCTGCAGTATGGGCGGTACCGGAGTGGTATGTCGGCAGTCACTTATCAGAAACAATTATTATCAGCAAGCATCAACTGCTACCAAGAAGATGGTTATGGCAGGGAGTATTAGTGCATAACCTTAAACTGCAACTTGTGTTTTGACTAAGAATGAAGTACACCGTACACCATACAGTGCATAGATTACAAGTCCTAATTATTAGTATTGTTCATTCATTGTTTCGGCTAGTGTTATCTATTATTTCAGCTAGCCTATCTATTTACTATTTAGTTAGGCTTCATAGGCTCTAGGTATTATAGGTAATACTCGTAGGTTTAGCAGAACTCCTTGGCAGTCAACTGCACTTCAGATACTCTGATATTTCCTGTGCTGGAGCCACTTGGCATAGCATAGAGAGAAATAGCATGTATGCCAGACAGGGGTGTCGGCACAGAGCAGAATCCAGTCAATAACACTCCGACTGGTCGTCGCGTCCGGATGCTGCTAACCAGACCACTGACTGCTGGTTGGCATGGTGATCGGTTGATGAGCAATTGCAGCTTGCTGTTGGCTCCCACGACAACGGTAGCACTGAGGTAAAGCTCCAGTGTTGTGTTAGCAGTTTGCTTGTACTGAGCAAAGCTATGTGTGAAGATCTCTTGACCGTAACCTGTGTTCTCGTTCAGCTCCGCTAGCTCGTAGCTTGGGAGAGGCTTGATCACATTCAATTTCGCCACTCCTCGGCACTGCAGAAGAATAGGCAGTTTACAACAAGAATAGTATTTACAATGTATTTATATTGTTTGGTGCAATATTAGCGCACCTTCTTTCTCGCACCAAATTATTATTTTTGCTACTTGACCCTGCAACCCCCCCCCCCCTTTTTTCGATGCCAGGTTGCAACGCTAACGCCGAGACCTCTGGTCGGTCGAGTTGCTCCCTGTACATCGGCACGTCGTCCCTACATCCCCTGTGTCTTGTTTTGTGTTTGTCTCCACATGTCTCTTTGTAGGGCTGTGTTCCCAGTAAAAAAAAAAAAATGAAAATACTACTGTCACGACGCTCAGAACTTTGTAGCTCTAATATTCTCCCTGTTCGTAGGTGAAAAAGTCACATCTGATTGGTTGGAGGAGCAGGGCCAGGCTATAAAAGTAATCCATCTGAGAGGGGATGGAGGTCGGGGTTTGGGATGGTATTTTTTGGGTTAATTCTCCTTGCCAGAGGCAACAAGAGGTTCAGCCATCAGAAAGCCAAGAAGAAAAACAAGTACTTTACTTGATTGTCACAAGAACTCTGCATGAAATATAGTTTGTCAGGTCCAGGAAGTGGAATGGTGGGAAGAGAGGAACTGAAAAAAGTCATGCCATGCTCACAAAGGCCCTCTTGAACCATGGCATACGTCATCTCTTCCTATCGTTCCACTTCCAGGACCTGACAAACTGTTTAATGCAGGTCCCCACCAACTTACCAACCTCAAAAGCACCGGAAATCATGACTCCACTACAAGCAAGTTCAGCTCCCGCAAGTAATGGAAATATCATGGCTATTTGGACGTGTGAGTCAGTCACCTGGAGATGCTGATGGTGTTCTGGAGCAAATTTAGATGTTTGATCATAGACCCTGATCTCTATCTCCACAAGATGCTCCCGCAAGTAATGGAAATATCATGGTTATTTGGACGTGTGAGTCAGTCACCTGGAGATGCTGATGGTGTTCTGGAGCAAATTTAGATGTTTGATCATAGACCCTGATCTCTATCTCCACAAGATGCTGCTGCACGGTGCAATGCCCGACTACTGATCCTCAACTAAATCGTGGACATGAGGATATGTGACTGTTGAAAGTGCCTAGTTAAATCCATGCCAGGGTGGTGGCAGTGAAATCCAAGCCCTAGAGTAGTTTTTCAGGGTTTGGTGGCACTGGCTTTCCTGCTCTGTGCCTGCGGAATTTCACCATATGTACACAGACAGTGCATGAGCATGTGTTTCAACTCTATACCTGTGTTTCTGATGAGAGCACATCCAAGGCTTCCGTTCTTTCTTGTCTCAGTTCCTCTTTGGCATTTGCAAGTTCTCTCTTGAACTCGTCCTGTTGATCTCTTGTCTTCGTTTCAATCTGGAGGCAAATAGTAGACACACTTATATTGAAGTACATACATGTCAACGTCGATGTAGAGCTGGTCAACAGAGTGTGCCTTACAACTGTTGGCTAGCCTACCGACACAGTGTGACGAACGCCGACTAATTTGGCCACATCAGTTTGTATTTGTATTCGCATTTATTCAACATTTCCTGGCCAATGACAAATGAATGCGAAATGAGGAGTGATAGCCCAGGGGCGTGCTCGGCTCCCCTTCCAGGGGGGGGGGGGGGGGGTGCACCACTTCCAGACAACAGCAATTTTCAAAAGGTTGTACCGGTGACATCATCAGATATTTGTACATGTGACGTCATTATTACTGTTACAAAGATTGTATGTCATCAAGAATGAACACAGTACAGCATCATATCAATTTTTTTCAAAATAAAGGATAAAAACTTTACAAATGTTTAAAAACCAATCCGTCGACGGCACTGTGCCAGGCAGGCCGATGCAAACACACATTGCACGGATATAGCTAAGAACAATCGTCACATTAGTTGACGTATCTGGACAGGATTCGGCGAGGAGAGTGTCGAAAGAACAGCTTCAGCACCTCATCTGTGTTTACAGGCATGCCGTAGTGGGTATGCTCCCGCGAAGTCGGGTTTTCCATTGGTGACTTTTCAAAACCCCGGTTGAAATATTTTTTGGGGGGGGGGGTGCACTTGCCCCCTGTGCCCCTCACCAAGCACGCCCCTGTAGCCAACCACGGTAACTACCGTATTTTTCCGGTTGTAAGTCGACCTTTTACGACTAAAAATAGAAGGAAAAAGAGTGGGGGTCGACTTACAACCGGGATTCGACTTATAACCGGGAACTATCAGTATCTTGCAAAAAATGACCTGCACTGCATGCATGAGTGCACCATGTGTACACATGTTTGCCAGTTTATTGGCCTTTTTCAAGGGTTGGGACGTTACACCCTCCAAAAAGGAAAGTTTACATGATTTGTTGATGTGTTATTAGCAGGGAGTGGTTGGTAGTGCTTCATTGGGTGAAAACTTTAAAACGCAGAATTGAGACCTCCGGATACGGGGGTCGACCTATAACCGGGGTCGACTTACAACCGGTAAAATACGGTATCAGAAACAGTACAAAAATAGCTAAGCCTTAACAAAAAATAACCTTGTTTCGGGTCGGCCGACTGGGCCACTCCCCCCCCCCCCTGACTCTGAAAATTTGCTGGCCCCATATGTTCATGAACACAATAGCCGACCCGAAACAAGCTTATTTTCGTTTTGGCTTTACATCAATTGTTATGTTCACAGCACAACTGAATGTCAGTCTACACTGATGACATGGTCTTACTGCTCATATGGTCTCACTGGTCGCAAGGTCTCACTGCTCACATTGTCTCACACTCGACAAAGCCCAATTTTGCCAGTTGAAGCTTCGATATTTTTGCCACGAAATTTTGCTAGCTCATAGTCGATATTTTGCTTGTATTTTGCAAGGCCACTTGATAATTTGCTACCTTTTTGCCCCAATGTGAGTTCAAAATGCGTGTCACGGTTTGGAAACGGCTCGAAAGTGGGTCACGTGTTGGCAAAATGAGCGAAGGTCCCTTTTTAGCAAAAATGTCCAAAAAGGAGTCACGTGCACCGTACAAGCGTAAACGTACCCAATTTTCAGCCAATATACCGATATTTTGCTCCGTTTTGCCAGCAAATTCTATTTCAAAAACCTTCGATATATTGCTAGCAGAATTGCTAGCGAAACCGAGCTACCCCTATCTCACATGCCAATGATCTCCCAGGTCACATGGTCTCACTGGTCATATGGTCCCCCGGTGATCCCCCTGGTGACATGGTCTCACTGATCACATGGTCTTACTGGCCACATGGTCTTTATCGGCCACATGGTCTATATTGGCCACATGGTCTTTATTGGCCACATGGTCAAAACTGATCACATGGCCTCCCTATTGACAAGGTATCACTGGTCACATGGTATCACTGGTCACACAGTCTGACGGATCACAGTGATACTTACTGTCTGCTGCATATCTTCCAGCTCTTCCTGTATACCAGCAGCACGTTGGTCATCAGCTGCTTGCAGTCGCTGTGCTTCTTCTACCAAGCTAACATTCACCAGCATGCTAACCTACAGTACATGCAGATACACGCACGCACGTATGCACACAGGTAGGCATGCACACACGCATGCACACACACACACATGCACACACACACACACACACACACACACACACACACACACACACACACACACACACACACACACACACACACACACACACACTCGTGAATGGACATACATACACATACTTGTACACGCATAATCAATAGGGATATAACGAATACTTGATTTGATTGTCCAAGCATGTAGCAACAGTGCTCCGGCAGTAGCATAGGAGAGCATTATTCCCATACCTACGCATAAGAATTGAAAAGACGTACCGTTAGTAGCATCTGGCGTCAGCCTGGGTCCATCGTGCTGTATTTTGTATCGGTGTGTGTGTGTGTGTGTGTGTGTGTGTGTGTGTGTGTGTGTGTGTGTGTGTGTGTGTGTGCCAGCTAGTTCGCTTGGCGGGTACATTTATGCCGGATAGTGTTGGGTCTGTTGCCAAAAGGCGTGGCTGCTTGACGGTGTATTGTTGTACTTGCCACCTTTGTTGGTTTCTGGGTTTATAATTATACTTTCTTTTTGAAGTATGCATACCTGTTAACCATGGACTGCTTCTGGCGAGATTAACTCTTGTGTAATCAATGGTGCTAGTAAAGCTTATATCAGATCCACTCTGATTCAGCCACCCACACTAGTAGCAAGTGTTACCTTCCCTAGGGGCAGGGGTAACTGCAGTTGGATCCCGGGACGGATACCCTGATGTCGTTAATCCTTTTTCCGCACCTTGTCCTCACCCACCTAGTGAGGTGTGGTGAGCCCATAAGTGGGATCATTTCCCAAGTCCACCCATAGTTTGGGGATTTCAGGGGGTGTCGGCCGTTGGGCGGTTCAATAGCCAAATGAGTCATCTTTCCACGAGTCCTTTTAAGTCTCTCTCCCCTCTCCCGGGAGACCCACGTGACCAGTTTTTGCAGTGAGCAAGTACAAGTGTGCGTGCGTGCGTGTGTGTGTGTGTGTATCTGTGTGTGTGTGTGTATATCTGTGTGTGTATCTGTGTGTGTGAAGACGTTGTCCAGAGAGACATGAAGGCAGCTGGCGTGGATTCCTGGTTTCAGAATGCCCAAGACCGGCAGAACTGGAGGATGTTCCTTGCTGAGCCACCACCGCACACAGATGATTCGCCACCTTTGCGCTGCTTGCTGTGTGCCAGAGACTTCCGCCGCCGTAACGACACGGCCCGACACAAGTGCATTGCCCAGCGGAAGTTGCCTGTGTCACAACAGAAGGGTGCCAGGCAATGTATGAAGTGCATGCGGTGGTTGAGGAGCGCTGGAGGAATGGCTGTGCATCGCTGTCCTGTGTCCACGGATGTCCCCACTGTATCTATTCACCATGAATCTGACTCTTTTCGATGTGATGTTTGTCGCCGCTCTTTCCGCTCTCGTTCTGGTTTGAGCCGTCATCACTGTGACCGTGCGAAACGGATGTCACATGCAGCCAGGAACAACTGCCGTCATGAATGCGAGCATTGCGAAAGACGGTTCTCAAGGCAACAGGACTTGCAACGCCATGCCAAATATTGTTGACTTTGCGATTTCTCTCTCTTCTCTTCTCTCTTCTTGTCGTTGTCTCCCGCTTCTGGGAGCGGCGTGGCCCGATAGGGTAGCTGTACATAGTAGTAGTAGTAGTAGTAGTAGTAGTGTGTGTGTGTGTGTGTGTGTGTGTGTGTGTGTGTGTGTGTGTGTGTGTGTGTGTGTCCCATATGGTGCAGTGGTATGTGCAGCGATTTCCAATCGATAGGTTGCGGGTTCGATTCCCGACGATTATGGTCACACACGTCTTTCTTCTCTTTCTCAGACTCTTCCTGACTTTTCTTTCATTCTCCTGGGTGGTTACCAACAGCCAGTGCATGCCGGAGTATGTGGTGTGAAAAAAAAAAAGACCAAAAATAGGGATTCACTGGCCAGAAAAAGTCACTTCAAATAGCTGTATGGTGTAGACCAGGCTGAATAGTGACGGTCAATTCTTCAGCCTTGCAAGCTGTTGAATGGTGCAATCCCAGCACAAGTTGCTATGGCTTCTGCCGTAGCATTGCTATCATCGTCTCCGGCGATGGGCGTCAAAGGTCAAAGGTCAAGGTGTGTGTGTGTGTGTGTGTGTATGTGTATCTGTGTGTGTATCTGTGTGTTTCTGTGTGTGTATCTGGTGAGCTCCAGAAGACGCGCCCTTCCCACGGGCCACGCAAGTGCTGGCTTGACAACATCGTGATTGACCTAGAGGAACGCCACATCAATGACTGGTACAGCCTAGCCGAGGACCGTCGTGCGTGGAGACTGGCCTGCAACACCATCCAGCCGCCTAAACCTGTGTCCCGGGATTTCAGGTGCCACTGCGGCCAAGATTTTCGCCGTCGCCAGGACCTCACTCGCCACTCGATGTTCTGTTCCGCGTGACTGAAACACTGTCGGTCCTTTCAGGACCTGCCATCATCTCCGGATGCGCATTATTGTATCGTATTGTATTGTATCTGTGTGTGTACATCTGTGTGTGTGTATCTGTGTGTGTATCTGTGTGTGTATCTGTGTGTGTGTATTTGTGTGTGTATCTGTGTGTGTGTGTGTATCTGTGTGTGTGTGTATCTGTGTGTGTGTGTGTGTGTGTGTGTGTATCTGTGTGTGTGTGTGTGTGTGTGTATCTGTATGTGTGTGGGGGGGGGGGGGGCGTGGTACGTCCGTCATCACGTGACAGGGCACAAAAAGCCGGCGGCGTGCCAGGCCTGGTGGACGTGTTTAACGTTGACACGTGACTTTGCACCAGCTTGCCTAGCTCAGTAAAACGAGCATGAGAAACAAGCATAGCGAAATGTGCTGAGTTTGCTCTCCGGTTAAAAAATACATCTTGGAATGTGGGCAGCAGTACCACGCAGCAGTACCACGCATCTGTACCACGCAGCAGTACCACGCATCTGTAGCACGCATCTGTACCATGCATCAGTACCACGCATCTGTACCACGCAGCAGTACCACACAGCAGTACCACGCATCTGTACCACGCATCTGTACCACGCATCTGTACCATGCATCTGTACCATGCATCTGTACCATGCATCTGTACCACGCATCTGTACCATGCATCTGTACCATGCATCTGTACCATGCATCTGTACCATGCATCTGTACCATGCATCAGTACCATGCATCTGTACCATGCATCTGTACCATGCATCTGTACCATGCATCTGTACCATGCATCTGTACCATGCATCTGTACCACGCATCTGTACCACGCATCTGTACCATGCATCTGTACCATGCATCTGTACCATGCATCTGTACCATGCATCTGTACCATGCATCTGTACCATGCATCTGTACCATGCATCTGTACCATGCATCTGTACCACGCATCTGTACCACGCATCTGTACCACGCATCTGTACCATGCATCTGTACCATGCATCTGTACCATGCATCTGTACCATGCATCTGTACCATGCATCTGTACCATGCATCTGTACCATGCATCTGTACCATGCATCTGTACCATGCATCTGTACCATGCATCTGTACCATGCATCTGTACCATGCATCTGTACCATGCATCTGTACCATGCATCTGTACCACGCATCTGAACCACGCATCTGTACCACGCATCTGTACCATGCATCTGTACCATGCATCTGTACCATGCATCTGTACCATGCATCTGTACCATGCATCTGTACCATGCATCTGTACCATGCATCAGTACCATGCATCTGTACCATGCATCTGTACCATGCATCTGTACCATGCATCTGTACCATGCATCTGTACCATGCATCTGTACCATGCATCTGTACCATGCATCTGTACCATGCATCTGTACCATGCATCTGTACCATGCATCTGTACCACGCATCTGAACCATGCATCTGTACCACGCATCTGTACCACGCATCTGTACCATGCATCTGTACCATGCATCTGTACCATGCATCTGTACCATGCATCAGTACCATGCATCTGTACCATGCATCTGTACCATGCATCTGTACCATGCATCTGTACCATGCATCTGTACCATGCATCAGTACCATGCATCTGTACCATGCATCTGTACCATGCATCTGTACCATGCATCTGTACCATGCATCTGTACCATGCATCTGTACCATGCATCTGTACCACGCATCTGTACCATGCATCTGGTTAAGTTGTAACTAATAGTGTACGGTGCCATATCCTGGCAAGTCTGAGACAAATGAGCCAACTTCTGTGATATACTTCTGCTCCTGTGAGCATTGAGCAGTCTATTGAACCAGAGGACTCCGCTTTCTATCTGGAACAGTGGAATAATCATTCGTTCCTTTCTTAGCCGTGATGTGTCACCAGTGATGTGTCACCAGTGATGTGTCACCAGTGATGTGTCACCAGTGATGTGTCACCAGTGATGTGTCACCAGTGATGTGTCACCAGTGATGTGTCACCAGTGATGTGTCACCAGTGATGTGTCACCAGTGATGTGTCACCAGTGATGTGTCACCAGTGATGTGTCACCAGTGATGTGTCACCAGTGATGTGTCACCAGTGATGTGTCACCAGTGATGTGTCACCAGTGATGTGTCACCAGTGATGTGTCACCAGTGATGTGTCACCAGTGATGTGTCACCAGTGATGTGTCACCAGTGATGTGTCACCAGTGATGTGTCACCAGTGATGTGTCACCAGTGATGTGTCACCAGTGATGTGTCACCAGTGATGTGTCACCAGTGATGTGTCACCAGTGATGTGTCACCAGTGATGTGCATGTGCACGTGCATGTACATGTACGTTGTGTCCTGTGATTTTCAGGAGTGAACTTACCCCGGATGAAGTTAAACCGCTTTTGGACGATCCATCTGATCGTTTCAGGCCAGCCGTGCGTGCCCCCAGCCTAGCCTAGCTAGCCCCGGCGCCCTGTTTTCTATTTTTCGAAACCAAGGTCGAAACTTTTGAGGGGGGGGGGGCGCCCCGCGCCCCCCCCCCCTCCCCCTAAACCCACCACTGTTTGCGATGTAGAAGGTGTTCTTACCTGATCTCTAAAGCCAGTCTGTACAGTATCCAGGCTAGTGCGCACAGTATCCAGGTCAGTGCGCACATTGCTCACAGCTTCTGCAGAATTACTTGTAGCTGTTTGCACCTAAATGATACATACATACACACACACACACGGATGCATACAAACACATGTGTATCCATGTACTCAATCTCTGGACAGCAAGCTGTTTCGATCGTAGATCTCATCAGCATGTAAACACACATGGATGCATTCCTATGTAAGCACACACACACGCACGCACGTAGCCACATGCAGGCACATGCGCGCACACCTCCGCCTTTTGACGCCCATCACCGGAGGCAATGATAGCGATAACTTGTGCTGGGATTGCACCATTCAACAGCTTGCAAGGTCGAAGAATTGACCGCCACTATTTAGCCTGGTGGTCTACACCGCATACCTACGAGTATTAGAAGTGGTTTTTTTTCTGGCCAGTGAATCCCTACTTTTTGGTCTTTTTGGCGTTTTTTCCCGCACACACATCACACCACCTACTCCGGCATGCACTGGTTGTTGGTAACCACCTAGGAGAATGAAAGAAAAGTCAGGAGACTATTGAGAAAGAGAAGAAAGACGTGTGCGACCATAATTGTCAGGAATTGAACCGGCAACCTCTCGATTGGAAATCAACTACATGTAACGCTGCACCATACGGGACGTACAGACGGTGCTGCTCAAAGAAATCCGATTGCGTTGTTCAAGTTTGCGCCCTGCACCAGCACACAATCCCAGTGTTTGCAGCACAGCGCCCGGTGGAGTTGCCGCTTCACTCGCTTGATCGGATTTCATTGAGCAGTACTGTAGTTTAGAATCTGCTCTGGCTACCGACTACCGGAAATTCCATGCCAATAGACATAATGTAAGCCTCCGGAATAAAAGAAACACAGAACACTGGATGGTAGAGCCAAAACTAGTCCAACTGAGACTGAGCTACTTCCAGATGCTTTCATGAGAAGGGGCTCCTTGTGCAAGTGCTCTTTCACTTACGCATTCACACATGTACACACATATGCATACATTCATACATGCACACATTCGCGCATTTACACACGCAAGACTTATACATGCACACCCACTAATACACACAAACACATACATACACCACACACTACACACACTACACACGCAGACACAGACACACAGACACACGCACTTGCACACGACAGACTCACAGACAGACAGGCATATTACAACATATTTCTTACCGTGCTAAGACGTCTTTCCAGACCTCGGAAGTTAGACAGTAGTCCCGACAATGATCGCTGAACAGATTGAACACCCCTTACTACGAGCAGAGTGACCTCTCCACTGGTAATGTGCTTGGTACTTCCATTATGATGTTCTGTTACCTGCAATGCCAGTACACCATACCGTGGCAATGCAGAAATGGGCAGAGGGCAGTTCCACATTAGATTGGATTCAAATATCAAACTGGAACAATTCAGACTGACTTGAGCCAAGAAATGTCAGGTGGCACCCACGACGGGGATCGAATTTAGGGCACTCGACAGGTAACTGAAAAACCCCATGGTAACATGCACTAAGCTGTTGACTGCATCATGTCACTGATACCCTGTGGTGGTAGAAGTGTGTGCAAGTTACACAAATCTGCTCAAGTGTTAGAGTGTGTTGGGTCTTAGAAGGCAAAATAACCACGAAAACCAGTGTGAGCACATACAAAAGTGAAGCAGATTACAATTAGAATACATCAAACCCGAGAAGAATGTCTGGGTTTGAAAGGGGACATGCCAACTGAGAGTACACTAGGCTGCACAACATATACACGACACAGCCTGCACGGCATGCAGTACATGATGTATTTGATTGTTTGCATGTGAATGCGCCGGGGTAAGTACATGTACACGGTGGTTTTCTCGCTAATCGCATGCAAGAGAGAGAGAGAGAGAAAGGACGTAAAAGGGAGCGAAGCAGAGTGTGGGTTCCAGTTCTGGTTCTGTTGATCGCGATTTGTAAATCCAAAATAGGATGATGCCTAGTTGCAATGCTGACGCCGAGACCTCTGGTCGGTTGAGTTGCTCCCAGCACATCGGCATGTCGCCCCTACATCCCCTATGTTTCGTCCTTTTCCTCGTTTCTTTTTGTTCTCCACTTGTTTTCCAGTAGGGCTGTGTTAATAGTAAAAAATAGGAATTCCCTCAAAAATATGCAAATGCAGTACAAGCAAAAAATATTGAAAGATCTTATGCATTGCCATTACCTCCATGGAAATCTTGTTCAACTTCTCCTCCAGCATTTCTAGCTCCGACTGGACTGTCGCCATGGTTGATGCTTGTCCTGCTAGCTGTTGAGCAGCAGACCGATATCGTGACGAAACCGTGCGCAAACCTGATTCTACTGTACTGATACGGCGAGAGTGGTCTTGACGGTTGCGATCAAATAGCCTGCGCACGCCAGATAGCTAATCATATGCACAGAAGAGAAAATACCGAATATGTAAAAACACACCTGGCAGGTGATATACTCGTAGGAGGACCCCAGGCAGGCCGGTCCACTAACCGCCGCTCCCTTCTTGGATACAGGTACAATGTTAGCAAGCCAGCCAGACTGAGACAATGTCTTATTGAAGACATCAACCACACAGCTGAAAAGAGAGTAAAAGACTGTGAATAGAGCATCCAACATCTCTCTTCACTAATATTAGTAGTCTACCACTGGAAGGCAATCACTGATCTTGGACACACATACACACACAAGTACAGGCACACACATACTAACACACACACACCCATGCGCGCAGGTGTGCACATATACACATAACACATGCACACATAATACTTGCAACCCAGCATACATACCTACGCATACGGTAAAGTCATAAAAATTGTCGACCCATTCAAATTTCGGCCTCCCAAGGCTAAAACACATGTCGGCTGCATTAAATTTTCGGCCTGCATTGCTGCTGACTGTATACACTGTCACACTGAACCTTGCAAAACAAAATTTTGGCTGCAACAAATTATCGCCCTGATATGACCAGGCCGGAAATAGCCGAAAATAGCCAAAAATAAATATGCGCCGAATATGTGTGGACTTACAGTACAAAGAACGTGGCAACTACATGTAGCACGGAAGTGCTCAACGCGCGGAACGCGGTTGGAATTCATTTGTCTCATAAAGACACATGGTGAAGCAATGATAAGATAAGTGAGCAATGACCATACAAGTGAGTTGAACATCTTACAGTGGAGGATAGAGATGTTAGTTGAGTGTTGACGTCAGTGATCTTAGTTCTCAAGTTACGTTCAGCTTGCTGCAGCCCATCACGATCACTCTCCAGTCTATTCAGACGAGAAATAACGGGTGCTGGTCCAAGCAATAAAGTCTCTCCCAATCGGGTATCAAGGGATTCCAGACGTGAATCTATAGCACTTTTGTCATTTGATTGCTGACGTCGAAGATTACGCACCTAAGCCATTCATACGTGGGAACATCATTCAAATAGACAAACGACGCATGATACGCACACGCACAAACACACAGACACACACGCACATGCATGCACGTGCACACACACACACACACACACACACACACACACGCACACACACGCACACACACACACACACACACACACACACACACACACACACACATACATACACACCCATATATGTATGATTGAGCGCAGCATGGCGAGACAACATTCAGCACGAGGAAACAACACACACGGAAGTTCATCTTTAAACTGACCATACAGAGAGATATGTACAAGAGACTGAGCAGTTGCTGAGTAGTACACCATGTAGCTGACAACAGTATCGAAGTCTGCACTGCACGTGTACTGTCAAACACTATAATGTTACATGTCTCCACTCATGGCACATATGCAGACACACATGCAGGTACACAAAATGGACACACGGGCATTGTAGTGGATACACGTGAGGAACTGGCTCAATTCGTCTGAGCACAATTATCTACAAATGAATCAAATCCAACGACACCAGGGTTCTGGAGGCTCGAAATGTATGAATACAGCTGGCTGTACAAATTTAAGCTTGGCCGGTGGATCCATGTAGTATTTCTCCAGTAACACCTGCAACCCTCCAACATTCCGTCTCTCTCTCTCTCTCTCTCTCTCTCTCTCTCTCTCTCTCTCTCTCTCTCTCTCTGACACACGCACACACACACCTCAGACCTCAGACCTGCCCATCGCAGAAGCGATGATAGCGAACAGCTATGTTAGGCATAGCAACTTGTGCTGGGATTACAACATTCAACAGCTTGCAAGGCTGATGAATTGACCGCCACTATTTTTAGCCTGGTATCCACCACACAGCTGTTTGAAGTGACTTTTTCTGGCCAGTGAATCCCTATTTTTCATTTTTCATTTTTTTTCTACACACACACACACACCACCACATACTCCGGCATACACTGGCTGTTGGTAACCACCCAGGAGAATGAAAGAAAAGTCAGGAAGAGTCCGAGAAAGAGAAGAAAGACGTGTGCGACCATAATCGTCGGGACACACACACACACACACACACACACACACACACACACACACACACACTACAAGAAAAGCCAAACACCTCGTGTTAGCCCCAAAATTTTGCTGTTAGCTCCTAATATTGTACTTTCTCAATGATGCTCAATAAGGCAATTGGAACAAGACGTTTAGTTTTGGGTTACAGTGAAAAACACAGAGCCCCAGCTGTGAAAGACAAAAGGCTAAAGTAGTAGAATGCACAAGTTTAGATCTGAAACTCACTGTGATTGCCAATGACTGTACATCATTAGTGGCGTTAGTCTGTTGCATCTCCACTGTCAGGAAACGTTCTTGTACCTGTGCCATGAAAGAACCGTGATTCAGAATGGGCTTGCAAAGGAGCAGTGGTGGTTGGAACAAAACGGAGGTCCAGAGTGACAACCTTGTCAATCATCTGTATGCAAACTTAGTAACTTATTTTCCAAACATAGGCTAAAATATGCATAGCCTTGAATATGTCTGATTTTAAAGCATTCAGAGCATGCGATTGCACACGTTGAAGCAGATTTAGACTTCAACGCAAACTTGGCAGCACTACTCAATCCGACTCTTGTTGAAAGGAGTGCCCAGGGGGAACGACTCGCTACTTGAGTACAGTAAAGCAAAACATAATACTAGACTTACCGTAGTTGTGAGATCACTCAGTTGTGAAGAAACATCGTCTATTCCAGATCGAAGTTCATTCAGAACGGCCGAGTCAACAATACTGCCTGCTTGCGTTGAAGGGCTGTCTGTGGCAGGCACCTAATCCACACGGTACAGGAGTATCAACGAAAATATAAGAACGAGCAAGTTGGTTACGCAGCAGAACGACAGGACTGTCCAACAAACGGCTGTTCTTTATAGGACGTGGACTGTCTATATAAAGTTTGAATATTATAAAATCTTACTATTTTAGCTTTTTGTTTTGTATATGAAAACACTCATAATAGCCTCAGTTCCCTGAGTTCCCTGAGGAACAGTGTACGCTGGAAAAATGTAATACTGGGAAATGGTGAGGATCAGATCAGAGATATTATATCACTGGTCGTTTGAGCAAACCTTTCGGATAGGCATATTCTGATGGGCATTGAACGACCCAGTACAGTCATAGCCTCACTATCACATCCATGCAATTGACCACCAGCAACATAATATTATTACTCTCCTACTGTACAATTGTACAGTCGTGTGTGCTTGCTCAAAAGATGTTGAATGGCATGCTGTCTTCATGCCTTACTTGACTAGTTGATGTTACTTGCTGCTGGCGTATAGCAGTGATCTGTGACTGTAAGCGTTGAATCTAAAAACATGAATGGAAGCAGGTCAAGATACCACTCCACCATCAAGGAAGTTAGCATACCACAGAAAATGCATCAAATGCTCTAGGACTCAGTACCCAGCCATGACCCTGTGATCAATCACAGTTCCTGTAACCAGTCATTCAGTCACAAAAGCTCAATGACCTATCAAGAAATCCAACTACTGGCCACAATCTCCACTTGTGGCCCATGGCCAGACATCAAAGACAATTTTTGGTGAATCCAAGTAAATCGAAAGAAGCCTAGTGCTTCAATTTCTAACATAATTCCTTCGAAATGTTGAGCACTTGCACCGCAAAAGCTAAGTTGGCACCCAGCATGCACACGAGGGGCCAGAGCCCACTTTGGGCAACAAGAACACTTGGAAGGCAGTTTGCTCGCTTTGGTAGCCATTAGTTTTGTTTGCACTTTTAACCGGCAGTGTGTAGTTAGCTGTCGATGCATAGTCGATCACCTACCTGTTGGCTGAGTCGACTATCTGCAGTATTCAGGCGATTGAGAGAAAGCAATAGCGAGGAAAGTCTTGTAACCACCTCGATGCTAACCTCCTGGGCCTGCGCAGGACTAAGCTAGATCGGTGCAAGAGCAACACACATGGCAAACAAAGAATGCTGGCAAGGGACCAATACATGAACCTGAACACTATCATGTCATATGATTGATTGATTTTTATTTCACGGATCCTCCAGAGGCAAATAGATGCCTATCGAAGGGAGTCTCCTAAGTAAGTATGTTTCCCAACAGGGTAATTGCACAAGGGGCAGGCCTGTTCCAGACCAAAAAAGGGCAGAACTAGAGCTAGAGCAGCCATATTACACTAGTCACTCTTATTCTGTGTGGAAAGTGGCTTGTGCTGAGTGAAGGTTTCAGAACAAACGAATTCAGCGCTTCAAAAAGGTTGCCGGAAAAACTGTCCGAGAGCCCAAGATCAGTCGTTTCAATGGAGACACCAGTGCATTTTCAGCTGAGCCACGGCTCAGTTGCATATTTCCCCGTGTACTTATGGAGCTCTGAGACTCATAACAATTCTATTCCATGACCGCTGGTGTAATGAGACAGAAGTGTGAGCATGAATGCATGTGATAATGTTGACTTACTTGCATGGATGCATTGCTAATCTGTTCACTTAGCATTGCTATTCTGGCATCCACTGCACTGTTGCGACTTCTTAGCTGTCAACAAAGATACCAGAAACGGAGGCAATAACAGCAAGGTTCAGTTTAGTGTAACAGCTTCCAAGCATACATATATTCAGGAGAAATGTAACAGTATAGTGCCTAAAGGATTGCTCTAGAATGTAAGAGTATAGTGCCTAAGCTAAAGGATTGCTCTAGAATGTTAACTTCAAGCAGTAAAACAAAAAGAAGGAATATGCATCTCCTAAAAACTTGGAAATTGCATTTTGAGGGTATATTACGCATCTATTAGAACGCTGTCTGGCTCCAAACATACGATTGTAACTGGTGTGATTGACAATGATATTCGAGAGAACTACTAATTTTAAGACAGACAGAAGGCAGAGTGCAAGGCCAGCTCAGCCGGCAGAGCATGAGACTCAAGGTAAGAGTTCCAGACCAACGGTGGGCGCCAATGCTAACACTGACAGAAGGAGCTACAAAATCTAGTGGCAAGGCCAAGATAATGTCAAAGAGAAGGTTCAATACCAGGGCATGCATTCTATATAGAGGCCTGTGTAACTATGGTACTTGTTGCAAGAAAGCTCCATAAGTTTGAAACTCACATTAGTAGTCAACTGCCGCACTTGCTCTTGCAGGACGGACAAGGCAGGTGAGCTGATGGCACCACCATCACCATTAGCCTCACTCGGCCCGGCAAGGTTGGAAGTCGCTACCTAAGAAATAGACAAAATTAATAAAAGAGGAAGACAGAACCTCAACAACATACTTGCGTTTTGTGTATAGTTTGCAGATGTAGTGGGAGCACTGTTAGCTAGGATACCGTGACCATACTGTGTAGCCTTTTGCATCTGTTCCTGCTGGTAAGAGTGCTACCCTGATTAAAGTACTATGATCTGCTGTGTAGAGTAGTACATCTGCTGTTTTAAGAGTAATACCATTGCATCTGCTGTTTAGAGTAACACATCTACTGATTAGAGTACTAGATCTGCTGTACAGAGTTGTACCTCTGCTGTGCAGAGCTGTACCTCTGCTGTTCAGAGCTGTACCTCTGCTGTTCAGAGTTGTACCTCTGCTGTGCAGAGCTGTACCTCTGCTGTTCAGAGCTGTACCTCTGCTGTTCAGAGCTGTACCTCTGCTGTTCAGAGTTGTACCTCTGCTGTTCAGAGCTGTACCTCTGCTGTGCAAAGCTGTACCTCTGCTGTTCAGAGCTCTAATTCTGCTGTGTCGCCTTATACTGCTTCTACAGCCTTCAAGCAGACTGAGCCGCCATCAGTGTTTCAATATTTAAGAAGAGCATGCTGCAAGAACTCGCAGAAGTTGAAGAGCAAAGTGCTCTGCTAAACCAGATCTAGCTACTGTCATCAGCTGACAAGGTTGTGTACAACCGGCTGGTGTCATGTCTTCGTTTCTTTCCCTTTTGCTTTTGTGGATACATTGTGAAATCATTACATTATTTCCTCATGAGATGATGTGACAACATTCCTCCTCAAAGACTAGACTGAGTGAATTCATACTTCAAATAATTTTGGTGTCCGGTGTACCTAAGCTCCACTGATGAGATAATACATAATATTATGGTGTACTAGCTGTGCTAGTACTTGTTAGCAACAATCCGAACTAGCGCACACACTGCACTGCATTGCTTTGTACTGCATTCAAGACTGACGTCATGCGCTTTGTTTTGCTCCGTAATCACAAATGGCACCAGCCCATTTTGCGGAAAAGAAAAAAACTTGACAAATCTTGCTTGCCCTGTTGTGCTCTTCCAGACAACGGATCGTGCTTCAGCAGTGTTTCTTTTCCCACCATCCCTCCCTATCCAACTTATTCACACCATCATAATTATCGTACCCACTAATCGGGTCCACTCTCACAACTGGTATTATCTAGCTATTTGCTGCGGCTCTGCCTTGCGCTATATTACATCCATTTAGCATTGCAGCTCTACGTTGAGCAGCTCTACTTTGAGCTAACAGCAGCTCTACTTTGAGCTAACAGCAGCTCTACTTTGAGCTAACAGCAGCTCTACTTTGAGCTAACAGCAGCTCTACTTTGAGCTAACAGCAGCTCTACTTTGAGCTAACAGCAGCTCTACTTTGAGCTAACAGCAGCTCTACTTTGAGCTAACAGCAGCTTTACCTTGAGCTAACAGCAGCTCTACTTTGAGCTCTACTTTGAGCTAACAGCAGCTCTACTTTGAGCTAACAGCAGCTCTACTTTGAGCTACCAGCAGCTCTACTTTGAGCTAACAGCAGCTCTACTTTGAGCTAACAGCAGCTTTACCTTGAGCTAACAGCAGCTCTACTTTGAGCTCTACTTTGAGCTAACAGCAGCTCTACTTTGAGCTAACAGCAGCTCTACTTTGAGCTACCAGCAGCTCTACTTTGAGCTAATCGCAGCTCTACTTTGAGCTAACAGCAGCTCTACTTTGAGCTAACCGCAGCTCTACTTTGAGCTAACAGCAGCTCTACTTTGAGCTAACAGCAGCTCTGCTCTGAGCTAACAGCAGCTCTGCTCTGAGCTAACACCAGCTCTACTTTGAGCTTCAAACCAGTTGTTTCGAAACCAGCACTCCTCAATCCAAAGATGCCTCTTTGTTGACTTGTTTGTGTGAGGGATGGGGCTAATAATAATTATAATAGCAAGGTTGAAACAACCCGGCACTGTAGCTGTCCGGGGATTGAGTATTGTGGTGCTGGTACATATGACAAGGGGTATGCCCAATAAACTGTGCGGTGGGGATATTGACTGGAAGTTTGTACAGAAGGTTAGCAAAAAGAGCATATACGCCACTGCTTCAAGACTGGGAGCTGAATCTGACTCCTTGATCAGTTTCAATTTGACTGACTTGGATGTGAGCCAAGAAGTACACAGTCAAGCCTCTCTTAGGCAACCGCCCAAGGGATATTACAAATGTGGTCCCCTTGTACAGGTGGTCTTCTTATCCAGGGATATTTGACTGAAAACAACATCCCTCAGTCCTAGTTGCCGCAGTGGTCTTCTGGGACACCCTATCAGAGTGGACGCTTTGACAGCCGGGTTAGACTGTATTTCTTTAATTTTACCGGCACCTCATGGGAAAATGAAGGATCATAGTAAGGTTCAGTAGAGAAATTTCCTCCAGGACATGGGGGAATAGAATGTAATCATAGCAGGATAAACACAATGGAGTCACCTCGGATTCTACTGTTGACATCCTGGAGCCCAAATCGTTGAAATTGGTAGTTGCAGTATTTTGAAAGGTGTTGAAATCAGTAACCAATGATCCCAGTCTGTTCTGCACCATTGGTAGCATTCTTGATAGCACTTGTTGCTGCGAGCAAAGTACACCAATAAACGAGCCATATACATGTATGAATTGTTCGGAATGCTCTTGCTCTACACCACAAACGCAGTCGACTCCACTTATAGCAAACTTGTATATAGCAAATTTCGTGATATAATAGCGAACCATTGCCCATGTCTCTGTTTGAACCCATACAAAATTGACCTCTTTGTAGCGAACCATTTCTTGTAGGGCCGCACCATAACCAAGTGCACTCATACAGCCGTGTGTCACACGCCAGTCGCAACGTGTTGTTTGAATGGTGGGAGTGCATTTCTGTTATCACGAACTTTGGCTATAAAGAACGAATTCTGCTGCACAATGGGGTTCGTTATAATTATCAAGAGTCAGCACCACCTGGGTATGGCACTTGAAAAACTTGAATATTGTAAAGTAAGGCTTCGCATTGCCAATGCAGTAAAATGTACACACCAGCAGTCAGCAATCCCCCGTGTGACATGACACAACAATTATGTAAGACATCTACCTGACTCTTGGTGGAATCCAGCTGGGTAGTGAGATCAGCAATTTGCCCAGCAGCTACTGCTGCACTCACTCTGATCAATTCATTTACATTGTTTTGCTCAGCAACACTTAGTTCATTAGCCTGCAGGGAAAGTAACATGAACATCACAACAAATGAAGCTAACAGACAAATGTCAAAGATTAACAAGTAATGGTCAGCTAGCAAGCCCACAGTTTCTTCTGAGACCAAAAACTAAAAAGCCCACGCTGGCAGAAGAGCACAAAAAGACAACACAGCATCTACCACAATCAACATTATCTCCGAAAAAGTTGGCGCAGGTCACTGATAGGATCCTCTGCGTCTCACAGACTACAAACAATTTTTGTACAGCCCAGACCAGACTCTGCCAGCAAATGAAATACACATCACATCATAGAATCAGTGGCTGTAGTTTTTGTTGCACAAAACACATGACACGTGACACATGGCACAGATAGAGAGTGCATCCATCATCATTTGTACACCATCAATAGGCATAACCACTCCGCGTCATTTCACTATAGTTCATGCAGCAATTTCACATACCTCTCTGGCAAGAGTGCGTACACGACCATCCAACTGAGAAATTTGATCAAGAGCCAAAGCACTGGAGCTGGTGAGCTGACAAACAGTAAGCGGTACAAGGTTATTGTTAGGGTGTAACAAGTTAACAACAATGATAATGAAATGAGCAGAAGAGTCGTAGCATGATGGCAGTTGCTATCCCCCCCCCCCGAGCTATCGCAGCAGGAATTTTCTTGTTTATTACATCATACATGTACAAGAAAATGTCAACAGACAGATTGCCATGGTTTCCAAGCAGCCCAACAGAAAAAAATGAAATTAGAGGCTTGACAGTAGGACACAACAGATACAGGTTATTTCGACCATTTTTTGGAATCCATGGGAATCTATGGGAATCTACGGGAAGCCATCATCCAGTGAGTGCGTTTGATTATGGCCGTGAATCTATTCATGAATCGATTCGCACTATTCACATCACACCATGTGAATAGGGTGCTACTACAGTACTTCGATTCCAGGGCTCATGACATGAAAATCGAACGACTTGAATGAATGCATGCGAATCGATTCATGAATCGATTCAAGTGAATAATCGAACGCAGCCGCCATGCCCATTCCTGAAAGGCCAAACATTCCCCAAACTGGGTATGAAGAAGCTATGAACCAATCAATATGACCAACATGCAGACAGAAACCAATTCAAAATCGGTCAATATTCTAGAACACAGACATCAAACAGCATTATGGTGACCTTGAAGGCACATACCGACTCGCTGAGAGAGTTGATCTGAGTCCGATGTGATGTAATCTGCTCCTGCAGGCCATTAATCAATTCGCTATCTACAACGTCGGTGATATCTCCTTCATCCTGGTCACCTGTATCACTTGTACCTGCAGGAGACTAGGAACACCACATACAATATTTCCCGAATTAAAAGTCGTTTTGCTAAGAATTCCCAAACTCCGACGTAGCCATTGACGCCTTATCAGTCCCGATATTAATACTGGCCTCTTTGTTGCAACAAATTTCTACTCATTCGCCAAATATTTTCCCGGCATGGCCCATCCCCAGGGTGAAAACAAAAGGTGAAATAATTAAACAAAAGGCACTGCATCTTCCGCTGGATTTACCGGGTGCTAGCAGCCGTCGTGAATTCCCCCGGGAACGGACACGATCTTTACTTCTTTTTTTAAACTTTTAAACTAACCGTTAGCTAGTAGGCTATTTTAGAACGAGGTTACATGCGTTATCTCACTTGCGTTATGCTTGTGTACCCTTATATTGGGTAGTTGTGTGGTTTGTGTGCAGCGAGAATTGGTGTGGTAACTCAGCACCACTGAGGACTACTAAAAGTAGAATAGAAGCAAACGAAATGCTGGGCTCTTATTGCGAGCTTCATTCTTATTCATAGCTTGTGGAGCTATTTAGGGTCTTCGAGAGCCCCTTTTCGATACCTATAATGACTTTGATCTTCGGTTTTTATAGGGTTCCGCAAGCTGTTGAAAAAGGAGAATCGTACAGATGAAAGAGTACGGGAGGCAAAAATGCGTAGCTTTTCGTATTACACCGTACATTTATGCAGAGTTCGTTATCTGCACCGTACTCTAGTGCGTACGTGGAGTTGTATGCACCTATTTAGAGTATATTCAGCAGGCTTTAAACTAATCCAAGGCCCATCAAAGAGTAGCAAAATAACGATTGAGCGGGCTTTAAACTCTGATATGGCCCTTGGCGGGAACGTCACTGATTGTTCGTCTCCTGGACAACGAGACAGACCTCGTTCTAAATGAATATAAGTGCTATCAGAGGCTGTCCCCAGCAACAAAAGGGACCAGCAAAACATTATGTCTCGTGCAGTAAGTACGTTTACAAGACTCCATAGTAACAGTTCACTTATGTATGCAATCCTTTAGAACAAAAATCGCTCTCATCAAACTCGTGTGTAATAGCCAAGTGTACATGTTACCAGAATTTTGTACTTAATAATTTTCACTTTGTGACAGAGCCAATTTAGCAGATCGGCATTTTCAACACTTACTCTTCTTTCCACCGCCATGATTCTACGCCTGAGTGCAGCATTTTCTGTTCGCTGTGTGGCATTCAGGGTGGTGAGGACGCTTGATACTCTTCTCAACTCACTTTGAGCTTGAGTAGATAGGAGAGCTGATCTACCAGCCTTATATAAACGAAAGTGCAAAGCAACAGAAAACGAACCACAATGCTTAAAAAAAGGTGATATCATTGTGGGTAAAAGGTGTAATAAGTACAACTTGTAAGGTCCTTATATGTGCTATCGCCTATCGGATTCATGTACCGTATTTCCCCGTTCGTAAGTCGCACTCGATAGTAACTCGCACCCCCATTTCCACGTCCATATCATATTGTTTCCATATAGTCACTTCAGTAGTAAATTAGTAGTAAATCATGCTGGATTTGTTGGCCCTGAAGTTAGGTGTACAAAGGTGCGACTTATATCCGGGGAAATACGATGTCTGTATCTGTTATTTATACCAACAGGTAGAAGTTCAAAGAGAATTGGTGAGCACACATGCTCATTCCCTGCACACTGCAAATTCACAACTCACAAAAGGTAGAAGCTGCATTCAAAATGGTAATGATACACTTAAAACAAGTTCAGCCTGTTTCTTTTTTTAATGTCTTTTCTCTCCTGTACACACAGCCTCACAACCGGAGCCATGCTATACACACAGACAGCCATGCCACGCTGCTTTATACCAGTGTGCAACTCCAACACTGGTGTGGTCCATGGCGAAATTTTTTGTTGGCATCACCTTCTCAGAACCTATATCTATGATGCATTTCGTACAAAGAAAGGCAAAGCATGGGCTGTAAGACAACTTTCATGGAGAGTTTGTGTTTTCAGTGCCACAACTTTTTCTCCCATTTCTACAGCTTTTACCGTACTCGTAGTGCCAGTTTAGCGAAACCCTGCCGCGTTCATGCGGCCACAGACTCACAGTACATGGTTTGTACGGTATGACTCATGATCTCCAGAAACGGTAATGCCAACAAAAACATCCGTCGTGGACCAAACCAAGCGGAGTTGAACACATGTATCAATGTTATACGGTACTTGTGCTCATACGTACCACATTAACAAACCAGTCATCAGCCTCTTCTGTGGGGACAGAATCAACCGCATGCAGTACACTTGCAAAGCAAGAAGGAAAGAATGTCGTCCCCAGTGTGTATACCTTAACACCTTGGAGCAGTAAATACATGTAGTACATCATAAAAAATAAAAATAAACTACATTTCTCGTTTCTTCCTACGCCAGCCAACGAGAGGCGAGGCACATTAACAAACAAAAAAAGGCCATCCCATACCTGTTGGACAGCCTGCCTTGCCGTGTTGCGCACACCGTTTATTTGCGCAAGCACTGGACGGGATCTCTGTGATATCAGATTAATCACTTCTGCCGTCTGTGACGGATTCAGTCCATTGTTCTGCAGGAAAACATCACCAGCAGAAAGCATGTGCTAATAACCTGCACTGTTCACGGTGAAACATTCACATGTGCATCATATCAGAAGAATGCAGAAATTACAAGGAAGTGGATCACTTGACAATAATTATTGTTCCCTTTCTACATAAGCCACTGGTTAAAACTTTCTTCTAAACAAGAATTACCCCGTAAGTATATATTATTGCACGATTAAAGAGGTCAATATATGAAATATAGAACGAGTAAAAGACCGAGGTCCCCCGAGGTCTTTTACGAGGTCTATATTTCATATATTGACCGATTATGAGGGCAATAATAGATTTATCATGACATAGCATACCTAAACTGTTTTTAGCTTTGTTTATAGGAAGAAAGGAATACTATTGTAATAGTACATAGTATGTACATATGCCGTTTACATTGGACATTACTTCTCTGTAAACAGAAGTTTTCAGCTGTCACTTGTAGCATGTTCCCCAAGTTCTTTGACTGAGAATCTGACAGTTTGGGTTCAAATCCCAGCATTTGCTGATATTTGACCGCTTAGAGATCACAAGTTTCTGTGGGGGTCAATAATATTAAAGAGAGTGATAATGTTGCGTATTAAAGCCGGGTTTATTCCTGTAGAAGCTGATGTCACGGCTAGGCTTCTATTCAAACCGGGTATTTCTAAAAATAGGCTTCTACAGTCGTCCCTCTATAATCCGGCACCTTTTGCTACGGCATTTTCTGCTGGATTAACGAGGGTGCTGGATTAAGAAATCCTGCCCTCTGACACGGCCCTACCCAATTGCATGCATGTATCATATGTACATCAAAACGCAGGGTTTTTCCGTGTCGACCCAAGTATTTGGTGCACGGCTTTATATTCTCAATTGTTCTCCGGGAATATACACAGTGATAAAGTGATAAAGTAAAACAGAGAACATGTTCACATGTACTCTTGCACACACACGCACACACACACACTCACCTAAAAATTGGCAGGACACTACTCCTTGCTAAAATAAGAAAGTATGGTTGGTTGACTGCCGTTGTCTCCTGGACAACATTGACCAGACTGGCCTAGCCTGGCCTGGCAAGGAGTGCACCTGTACGGTACGCGATTTACGACTGCCGGATTATGAAATCAAACTACGTGCAGTTTGAGCGATTCGTTTCAAAAAGTCACTGCCGGAGGCGGAATTCAAGTGCCGGATTAAGATGTAGGAATTGAACGAAAAAAATCGGTTTCGTCAGAAAGTGCGCCGGTTGGCAAGGGTTCCGGATAAACAAGTGCCGGATTAGAGAGGGACGACTGTATATGAGACAGGCTTTAATACAAGATACTACGGCATTTACTTCCATTCTGCTGCTGCTGCTGCTGCTGCTGCTGCTGCTGCTGCATTACGTGGCAGTGGGGACATCAATCGAATCAATAGCACCTCCACCACTATATCACTACTCACTGATATATTGAAGCGGTTTAGAGCAACTAGTTCTCTAAGAGGTCCCAGTGCCTCGTCAACCTGCTGAATGATAACCTCGTCAACCTGCTGAATGATAGAGCTGTACTGCATATCTGTTGCTTCCCTCAGCTCAGTGATGTTTAGATCTGATATCTGTAGAAAGACAACGCCAGGATAAGAATACTCAAATACGCACCAATCGATTCAGACTCCAGGCTACAACGATGTCCGACTGTCCTGCTATCTAACCCTTCAATATCAAGGCAATCAGTTCCACTTACTTTGTGGCTAACAGAATTGATCTGAGCCCAGAGCATGGTGATTTGTTGATCAATACTACTGATCACTTCATTGACATTGTCTGTATCTTCATTGCCGTTGCCTGCATCTTCAGAATTATCACTGGCATCCACCACAACTGCAGGAATCTAGGAAAACAGAAAGCAGAACCCAACACGAGTACAAGATCAACACTGTGACAGGAAATCACACATGATCAGTAGGTATTTAGTCTAGGGTAGCCTAGTAACGCATCTAAAGTAGGACTGGTGTAGTGCTGGAACAGAGTTCCATCAATCCTTGCCCGGAGATCTAGTCCTGGTAATGCATAAACTCTGCGCCTAAGGCCAGGGCACACTACGATGGTTTGTGCACTTCACACAGTGTACACAATTTGACATGACAGGGAACGTGACTCCCATCGTTTCGTCCACTGAACATTGTGTAACACTGGAACTCAATTACGGGGGCTCGACATGCCCCAGAAAAACGAGAGACTGAGATAACGAAGGATCATGGGCCATTCATAGCCTGTTAATTAACGTCCATATCTTCACATTGAGAACAGCAAAGTTAAAGATATGCCCGGCCTGGTCTGAAATGCTATTACAGTACTTTAACTTGCTGTTGCAGTCCCTTTCAAACGGTAACTTCACCTGACTTAGCTGGATTTCATGAAACATGAACAATCAGGTGAGCAGCAATAGTGATACATGTACAAGCAAATCCGTTCACAAAGGTAAAATATTCTAACCAAAACGACCCGTACTTTTAGCTCCACTGCAGTGATTCTGCGACGCACTGCATCATCATTGGAGTTAACCGTTGTGCTCAGACTGGCTAAGGCACGTGTGGCCACCAGTAAGTCAGCCTGCAGTTGTGTTGATAGTGTGGAGGAGCTGTGAGCCTGCAAAGCATAACAAACCAACCAGAAACGTTTTGTTTTTTCACGGCTGAGCGTAGCAAAAGAGTGCAAAAAACGTATTTTTCACTCACAAATAGTTTCGTGCATTTGCTCTTGTTCTGCGCAACTCCGTTGAACCTGCCATCAAGGTCTTTGTTTTTCCTCGTGGTAGTTGAAGAATCGTGGTCTTTGATTTTCCTCGTGAGTGTGATTGCTCTGGTAGACCACTACCCCATGTACTGAACAGTCGCTTTGTGAGTGAAAACAGCTATACATTCATACAACACAGTATCATCAACATCCCTGTTGTGATGTGCATATCATAGCGCTTGCTGTTGGCTTATCATGACAAATCCTAGTAATTTCCACATGTTTCCTTTTAGAGGAACAGGAGGAACAACTGAGCACTGTGACTATTATTATTATGCTTGTTGGCGTTGACATCACCAAGCAAGCTTGGCTAGCCTTCGCATAAGCCAAATGAACAAAAGAAAAGAGGAACGAGCGAAGCCAATGAGGAGCACACACGCATGCAACTGCAGAATGGGCAAAAGGAATAAATAAGACAATCCTTAGGGCCTTTTCACACTAGGTAAAAAACGCCGTATAAGTGACATTTTCATGAAAATCGTCATGACAATGGGTGGAAAATGGCGCTAAAATGAAAACGGCGCACGTGCCTTTTACGACAAGCGAGGACCCTGTAGAAAGTGCCATTCTTCCGTTTTCACACTCGTGAAGAGTTTTTTGTTGTGGCTGTCGTGTTGGTCGAGCGTTTCCTCAACTCTCCTGGACAATGCCTTTGGTTCACTTCAACGGTGAGTTAGAACAAAAATTGATCGAGCTGTGGGGCGAGCAGCAGCGGAGGAAAGGCGGTCAGATGATCAAAAGAAAAGTGAGGGAGATGGAGGTGGTGCAGGCTCTCAACAAGTATGCTGTGCAACTATATGGGGAGAAGAACGAGCATGAGTTCTCATTTAAGGTTGTCAGCAATAAAATCGACAACCTCAAGTCGAAGGCGAGAGATTTCTACAAGAAGTACACAGCTTCAACCCAAACTGGAGCAGCTGTAGGTGATGGTTGTGGTGGCAATGCAGGCAATTTAGATCTCGCAGCTGCAGGTGCCAAGTGGGGCAACTTCAAGCTGTGGCACAAAACGTTTTCGGACGTACCAGGCTATGGGCCCATTAGCTCATTGAGCTGAGCGCAGGTGCTGTCTGTTCCTGCATCACCTGTTCGAGTGTTCGTCCGTGAGATCAACGCCAAAAGTCTTCTTCGCCGCCTATCATCACGAACAGGAGGCATTCTTCAACAAAGAAGTGAAAAAGGGATTTTTTGTTTCGCCTTCTCGAGCGATCATGAATCCAAAATTTCTTGAAATTCTTGTGCGGATGTAACTTCAAACTTTTCCCGCCGTCAGTGACGTAGGCTGTCACCATGGGGAATCCCGTGAAAATGTTTCATGACGTTCTCAAAGTCAAGCAGTGTGAAAAGCAGCCCAAACAAACCTGGTACATGATGTCGCGTGCACTCATGTTCTTTTACCTTGTGTGAAAAGGCCCTAAAAACACACGAAATGTCAGCTATTTACTTCAATGTTCAGAAGATCCCGAGGTCTGAACCAACGACTATATGTCACATGCATGGTTGTGCTGTACTGCTACGCATCGGCTTCTAGTATGCTTGCATTCATGGTAGCATTGACTGTAGACCTGAGCGGTCACGTGCATGTTTCTGTCTCGCGAGTTCCCGGATGCATGCACCGGAGCTTGCGCCGCGCTGTGCTGCGCTGCTTTTGTTTAGTTCCTGGTTGTTGGACTTTTAGTAGTGTTTTAGACTAGTTGGTGTGAACAGTTGCTTTTCGGAGTTCATGTAGAAAGTTCAAGGTTATTGTTTCTTCGAATCGCTTTCCGTTGTGCACGAATGTGGAATGTGTCACTGTGTGAGTGTGCGTTCCCTTTAGTGAGCTTTTCTTAGTAACAGAAAATTGGTAGCAGAGGATGGTTACTAAAAGGAATTAGCTCAGCAGATTGATTGTGATAGTGTTCGCGTTGCGATTTGTAGCAGTGCGTCTCGAACCTGGAATAGGGTGCGGATAATGGCATCGTCGGAACCCACGACCTTGGAGTATGCTGCGGAGCCGAGTGCTCAGGGAGAATTGGAGGACGACTATGAAGAAAGGCCAAATTCGGGCCGCCGTCGCTCCTCAACTCCAGAGCGAGAGGAAGCAGCTGGGGATCGTGGAGCGGGCCTAAACTCAGCGCAAGTGGAGAGCGAACTGAGAGTGAGAAAGGCCGCCATCAAAGGGCAGTTCACGAGAGCGAGACGAGGCTTGCTAGTGCAGCTAAATGCCGATGGTCCATGCGACATCGAAGGGATCTCGCAACATCTGGAAGGCCTGACGGCACTGTACGATGGAGCTACTAGTTTGTTGGCAGACAAGATCGGCAGCTGCCAAGACGTTCGCCAGCGAATTAAACTGGCAAGTGAGTTGGAAGCACTGGAGACTCAATTTTCGGCGGCCATGGACCGAGCGCAGGCCAAGATCGATGTCAGTAAACTGAGCGAAGCCCATCCGCAGTCACCGTCACAAGGCCGAACGGACATCATCTTGTCTCCTCATGAGGACACAGTACACACACTGTCTGGGAGTCAGCGTGGGAACCCGACAGAGACTGTCGGCGGCAAGACCATTGTTCCTGTAAGTACAAGCACTCAGGTCGGTACTAGGACACTTGACGCGACAGGTAGAGCTAGTGCAATGTCGTACACCAGCATCAGTGATCTGTCACTGTCAAGTGTGAGCGCCAGCCCTGTTCAGTCTGTACATGACACTGTACTGCCTACCTCAGCACCAGTGACAACCATCAATGGCATCACAGGTAGCAGCAGCCTCACTGCAGCCACTACCTTGACCACTGGCACTAGCATGACTAGACCACTTGCCTCACTGGCTGCACCCAGGAGTGGTACTACCAGGCAGCCATTCACCAGTCAAGCTGTGGCCAGCAGCCAGCCTGCATTCAGTAGCAGCAGACTGAATGCAGGGGCAAGTGTGTATGTGCCATCTGCACCATCTGCACTGCCTGCTGCCAGTGAAGCCTGGCCAGGTGGCGCAACCAGTCCTTGGACGCACATGCAGCGCATTGAGATCCCCACATTTGCAGGCGATAAACGTAGTTTCGAGGCCTGGTGGGCTGCGTTCTCAGCGTGCGTGGACAAATCGCCAGTGTCACCAGAGTGCAAGATGCTCAGGCTGCGGCAATATCTGAGTGGCGAGCCACTGCGGACTATCAAGAGTCTCGGGTACACTGCTGCGTCCTATGAAGCTGCCAAGGACATGCTCACAAGGAAGTATGGCGGCGAGCGTCGTCGTCTGGCAATCCAGCTTGAGGAGATTGAGGAAATGCGGCAATCCGAGAAGGAAAGCCACGGGAGCTGCAGCAGTTCGCTGAGTTGCTGATGGTAGCAACTGTCCAGCTCAAGGAGGCAGGACGACATGCGGAGCTGTTGGTCGGCACGCTCTATCACTCCCTGATGAAGAAGCTGGATGAACGGATCATAGCGCGCTATCATCGCTGGCGATATGACCATAATAGATCAGAGAGTGTAGAGTGCCTGTTGGAATTTGTTACCCTGGAAGCCGAGCTCCTGGTGACGGCGGCAGAGACGGTATCAGGTTTCAACACAGCGGCAAAAGCAGACCAGCCCCGCAGCTCGCAGGATCATCGTGCAAGAACGCTGCTTACCGGTACTCGCAACAAGTCATCTCCAAGCAAATGCCCAGCCTGCCAAAGCCAACACCCAGTCTGGAGGTGCCTGGTATTTAAGTCGGCCACGCTAGATGAACGATGGCGCATTGCCAAGGCCAGCAACCTGTGCTTTCGGTGCCTGGGCGCTGGACACCGTGGGCAAGAATGCACTTGGGGGGACGCGTGTGGCATAAGTGGTTGCAGCAAAAGTCACCATCGGCTGCTGCATAACGCGGAGAAGACGTCGTCAGCCTCGGGCACTGACACAGCATCCGAAGACAGCAAGCCTACGGTACGCCAGACGCTCGCAACATCAGCAGAGGGCAAACAGCAGCGTTCACGAACAACAAGCAACAGCAGGCAGTCGGAACCAGCGATGTCCCTAGTCACGTGTCAGACTACAGATGACAGCAAGGCATTATCAACAGCTTCCAAAGCGTCCAAGCTCATCGCCGTGTCCATGAGAACGGTGCCAGTGAAACTCAGGTCTGGTGGGAAAGAAGTGCTTGTTAATGCACTGCTGGACGATGCAAGCACGGACTCATACGTAAGTTCGCATGTGGCATGTGAGCTTGGTCTAACGGGAGAAAGACAACACCTGCCGGTGAAAGTGCTCAGCGGTCGTACTGAGGTGTTCTCAACAACACATGTGACGGTTCAGCTCTGCAGTGTGGACGGAGAGACATCGGCGACGCTGGACGCATTCACAACCGACTCAATCCTCGGCAGTGACAATGCAGTGGATTGGGTGCACAAGCGCCGTGATTGGGCACACCTCCGCAACATTCCATTCCCAGCACTGCCGAACCGTCGACAGGTAGATGTGTTACTCGGCCTTGATGCAGTACAGCTTCAAGCAGCCATACGAGAAGTCCATGGGCAACCTGGAGAGCCGATTGCTCGCCTGACCCCCCTTGGATGGACCTGCGTCGGCAGGATTGGCAAGGTCAAGGCAGACCCGGTAACCTGTCTTACACGGGCTGCGCCACACGACGTTCGGGAAAGTATTGCGCGGCTATGGGCCATTGAAGAGTTTGGCCAGGCTCAACCGCAGCAGCCCACTCTTTCTGTGGAGGAGAAGGAAGCGATGCAGGCTGCCAAAGAGTCCATGCAGTGGATCGCCGATGGACGGTACCAGGTCGGCATCCCATGGCGTGCTGGTCGGCCAACACTACCTGACAATTTCGCGGCTGCACTGAAGCGTCTGCAAAGCACGGAACGACGCCTAAGCCAGGATGCAGCAGCAGCTACAGCTTATAGCAACATCGTACTGGATTACGTCAAGAAAGGGTACGTGCGAGAGGTCAGTAGCAGCGAGCTCAAGCAAGGTCAACAATGGTTCCTGCCGCACTTCGCAGTCCTGAGACCGGATAAAGCTACGACGAAGACCCGGATGGTCTTTGATGCATCAGCAAAGTGCAAAGGCATTGCACTCAACGATACCATGCTGCCAGGGCCGAAACTGCAACGCCAGCTGCCGAACGTGCTGACCCGCTTCCGGCACAAACCAGTAGGAATCATCTGCGATATCGCCGAGATGTACCTTCAGGTTCATCTCCGTCCAGAGGACCGTCCCTACCACCGATTCCTGTGGCGAGGCATGGAGCCAACAGCTGAGCCACGTGTGTACGAATTCGAAAGACTCGTGTTCGGCGCCAACGCCTCGCCGTTCTTGGCTCAGTTCGTCTATCAAGAACATGCCCGAACAAACCGCCACAAGTACCCATTAGCAGCGGAAACCATGCTGCACTCAACGTACATGGACGACTCCATGGACTCGGCCACAGATCCCAACGAAGGTGTGGAAATGTATGAGCAGCTGTCAGCGTGCTGGAAAGAAGCCGGAATGCATGCCAGAAAATGGCTCTCCAACTCAAAGGTGGTCATGGAGAAAGTGCCTCAGCAAGATCGTGCCAGCCAGATCGACGTGAGCTGCCCAGAGCTGCCAAGTGTCAAGACGCTGGGACTGCTCTGGTCGGCCGCAACAGATAGCTTTACGTTCAAGCCGAACGTACCAGACCTGTCGAAACAAGTCACCAAGCGATCGTTCCTGAGCGCAACGGCAAGCGTATTTGACCCGCTTGGATTCGTAGGCCCCTATGTAGTGAGCGCTCGGCAGCTGATTCAAGAAATGTGGCTTCTGGCGTTGGATTGGGATGAACCGCTTCCGGATGTCCTAAGCCAGCGGGTTACGGGTTGGTACGCAGACCTAGCCGAGCTATCTCACCTCTCGATCCCACGCTGTTTGCAGGCAGTTGAGGCAGGCAGCCCTACCAGCAGGCAAATCCATGTGTTCACCGACGCCTCAGAAACCGCTTATGGTGCGGTCAGCTATCTCCGTTGTGTGTATGATGATGGCCATGTGTCTACTGCTCTCATCGCTAGTAGAGCCCGTGTAGCCCCGCTTGCAGCCATATCGATTCCGAGACTAGAGCTGCTAGCTGCAGTCATGGGCATGCAGTTGGCTATCTGGTCATCCGATGTCCTCAGTCTACCAGCAAGTGAAGCAACCATTTGGACAGACAGTCTGAATGTGCTGTACTGGATCCGGAACCGTGCGCGGAGCTTCAAGCCGTTCATTGCAACACGCATCGGAGAGATTCAGCAGAGCACCAGTCCCAGTCAGTGGCGTCATGTGCCGACTAAAGTGAACCCGGCGGATGTTCTCTCCCGAGGTTCGTCAGCCCAGGCTCTGATCCATAACGAACTCTGGTGGTCGGCGCCGGACTTTCTCCGCAAAGAGGAAGCAGAATGGCCAGCACAGCAGCTTCAAGAGCCAAAGTCTACCGTCAACTTGGAAAAGAAGAGTGCAGACCCGTCGGGGCAGGCACCAGTCGTGCTAGCTACAGTGGCGGCTGAGGCCGAGGCACCTTGGAGCTTGAATCCAACAAGGTTTTCTGACATCAACCGTCTCGTACGACGCCGAGCATGGGTGATGCGTTTTGTGCAGAACTGCTCCAAGCCAATGGAGCTCCGTGAGACTGGCCCATTGTCCTCTGACGAGCTTGCGAGCAGCCGAGCTAGTGTGATTGCGGCAGCACAAGAAGAGTCATTGGAAGAGTACCGCTTGGTGAGAGATGGAAAGCCTATCCCAGCATCAAGTAAGCTTGCGAAGTTACGACCAATGCTGAATGATGATCGACTGCTGTGTGTTGACAGCCGTCTCCGAAATGCCGCGATCCTGGACGAGCAAGCCAGATGTCCTGTGATTCTGCCGCGCGGACACTGGGTTACCCAGCTCATTGTGAAGGAGGCTCATGAGAAGAACCGTCATGCTGGTGGCATAAGTCATACGCTGTCTGATCTGTCACAGAAGTATTGGCTTCTTGCTGGGCGAGAGGAAATAAAGGCATGGGAGAAGAAGTGTGCTCACTGTCAACGGCAGGCCGCGAAGCCAGGCACACAGATAATGGCGCCACTACCCACCGTCCGTGTGTCATTGCCGCTGAGAGCATTCTCGCGTGTCGCGGTGGACTACGCCGGACCTTTCACAACCAAGCAGGGACGCGGAAAACCTCGGGCGAAGAGATACCTCTGCCTATTCACCTGCCTTCAGTCCCGGGCTGTTCATTTGGAAATGGCAACAAGTCTCGATGTCGACGGATTCATGAATGCTTTCTTGAGGATGACCAACCGGCGCGGCGTTCCGATACAGGTCGTCTCCGATAACGGCACCAACTTCGTCGGAGCCGCCAACGAGATGAAGAAGCTTCTGAAGGCAATGGAGGGAGATGTGCAGCGTCGAGCAGCGGACAAAGGCATCAAGTGGTCATTTAACCCGCCGGCTGCTCCACACTTTGGTGGCGTACACGAGGCACTAGTGAAATCTGCAAAGCGTGCCATCTTCGCCATCCTAGCAGGTGCGGAAGTGAATGATGAAGAATTGGCGACTGCAATCACCGGCGCAGAGGCGTTACTGAATTCACGACCACTTACCTACCAGTCAGCAGATGCCAGAGATTTGCTGCCGTTGACACCCAATCATTTCCTTTACGGACACCAGGGCCAGCCATTCGTACCAAAGGGCACCGACATTGTGCCGCACAGCCACCGTTATCGCTGGCGAGTTGTCCAGAGTTTGGTCCTACAAGTATGGAAGCGCTGGATGACCGAGCTATTGCCACTTCTCCACACTCGTGCAAAGTGGCGGCAGCCGCAACCAGACATCGCTGTGAACGATGTTGTGCTGGTTGTCAACACAGGAACACCCAGAGGTAAATGGAAGCTGGGACGTGTGGAGGAGGTCTACCCTGGCGTTGATGGACGGGTCCGAGTCGCGAAGGTCAAAGTTGGTGACACATCGTTGGTCCGTCCCATCGCTCAGATGTGCAAGCTTAGCTCGGAATAACGGTCAGAAGAGTGTATGATGAACATGTCCAGTAGCAAAGCTGAGAGTAATTAAATAGCGTCTGAGTGACTGCAAGTGGGTGCGTATAACATCGCATTGCTTTGCCTACGTGACATTATCGGATAGTTAATAACGCTATGCACATGTATGCATAGGGTGAATATTATTCTGGAGACTGCGCACTACAGCTGCTGTCATCACTATGTTTTTTAGTATCCGGTGTGAGGCACCGTAAATGGCTAAATTGTAGCGTTTCACTATGTTTCATCATTATTGCGAGTGCATGTGTTAGTGGCTGATTAATCTACGTTCAATCAGGGTAGGGGAGAATGTTCAGAAGATCCCGAGGTCTGAACCAACGACTATATGTCACATGCATGGTTGTGCTGTACTGCTACGCATCGGCTTCTAGTATGCTTGCATTCATGGTAGCATTGACTGTAGACCTGAGCGGTCACGTGCATGTTTCTGTCTCGCGAGTTCCCGGATGCATGCACCGGAGCTTGCGCCGCGCTGTGCTGCGCTGCTTTTGTTTAGTTCCTGGTTGTTGGACTTTTAGTAGTGTTTTAGACTAGTTGGTGTGAACAGTTGCTTTTCGGAGTTCATGTAGAAAGTTCAAGGTTATTGTTTCTTCGAATCGCTTTCCGTTGTGCACGAATGTGGAATGTGTCACTGTGTGAGTGTGCGTTCCCTTTAGTGAGCTTTTCTTAGTAACACTTCAATAATATAACTGAATGTTCAAAACTTTTTTGCAAATTGTCTGTACATGTGAAAATGCATTGCCCATCTTGTGTAGCTCTCCACTACGTGGTTTGCGGCTGTAGTTATTAATTAATTATTATCACGTATACTTGTATTACTATTAGGTCACTTCGCCACTACATGTACGTACCGTAAGCTGTAATGATATCTGTATTCATCCTTTTCCTGTGTTATTTGTTGAAGTAAATAGTTGACATTTTGTAGTCACCCGTTTCCAGTGATATTACTGTGACTATACCAGATCTTAAGCAGTCATCATATGTGCACAATCTGGCATAAACTGACAAGAAGTACTGAGATACTTCATGGCATGGTAGTGTCATGAGCTTTAGCACTGATCGATAGCGCTAACCAATGACTTTCCAACCTGGAAGGTTCATTGTCGTGAGTGATTATGCCAAAGGGAAGGTAAGCGTCATCGAGCTGAACACAACCTAAATTCCAAGGCTCCATTGAATGCTGACTAATGACGATGGCCGGATGTGAAACCATTAGACAGATTGATCTAACCATCTTCTACTTTGTGATATATTATAGATCAGGAGTGAGAATAAACATTTGGTTGATATCGCCTTCTGTTCGTGTAACTCAGTACTGTATACATGCACAGTAGAGTTGTGTCAGACCTGCAGCAAGACATACCTGTCGGTTAGCCTGGCGTACTGAAGTGCGGACATTGTTCATTTGAAGAAGTAGAGGACCAAATCTTGCCAATAACAGAGATTGCACTTCCCTGGATTGTTCTGGATTGAGTCCGCTGCCCTACAAAGGACAACAATCATGGAACCGCATAATGTACACAGTGTAACAAACTTTCGGGAAAATTTAAGTTGTGGTGGCTGCGGTGACGGCAACAACGTTAGTGGCGGCGACGGTGGTGGTAGTACTAGTAGTGATGGAGGGGAGGGGTAATGTTCTACTTGTGGGAAATTATAGTACGTACGGAAATATTGAACTCATGCTGGGCTAGCTTGGCTTGGATTGGCTCCAGAGCTGTGTTGATCTGTTGCCTAATGACACTGAGCTGGATGCCAGTTGTAGTTTGCTGGGGAGGAGTATCTGCACCAGAGTTGATCTGGGAGATCTGAAGTTAAAGAAATACAGATACACAAGTATTCAAAGTAGCACCTCTACTTGTAGAATCCACAACACAGACACAGAATAGTTTCACGATAGGACCTTTCATGGCAGAGGAGCAGCAATGACTCCTTTAAAAAGCAATTCATGAATCAACTAACCTGCATGTTGATCACAGATATCTGATTTTCCACATCAGATATCTTATTGGCAATGTCAGCAGCAGTCATGGTAAGCTAAGCACAAAGAAAATATTAGAAAATGAAGTTATTACGGATGATGACGGGGTTCAAGTAAGATTCTAATGATTCAGCTATGTCGGTAGCATTTGCAACCACAACTTTGTCCCTTCAGTTCAGGACCGAACAAAGCAAGACACTACTTTAGCTCTACAATAACCCACACATTCCATATTCCCCAAAAATGGATGTAGGTGAACAGACCATCACATGCCAAACGTTTCTTGTAAGCAAAGGGAAACCCCCCACCATATATACACGCCACTTTACTGTTACTAAAATGCGTGATTCTTGTCACAGCACCGTCATTCTTACAGTAGAAGAGAGGTCACTGATCTGTTGATTGAGCGGCTCTACAGCGGTGCTGATGCGGTTAGGGATTTCTGATAGCTCATCTCTTGTTGACTGTTGGAAGTTGGCAAAGTCGATGTTGGAAATCTAATGCAATATCACAAAGCCACATGCACTATAGAATTACATACACAATGCAGCACCGAACATGTTCTAGTTTCACAATCTTCTAAAATGTGCATAACCCGTACACTATCTTCTACCTTCTTTGAAGCACATGCCCCACCCCCCCCCCCCCCTACCTGGCACCCCACGTTAATTTAAGCAGGGGGGGGGGGCATCCCCCAAACTTTTTGGCGGATGTAGGGCCGAAGCTCGATCGATGTAATTGTTACATGTTTGCAAGCGCAAGTGAGAAGCATGCAGATCAACCCGCAGTCCTGCACTCAGATCGATCGTAGTCAGAGCTGACCTTGCATATGCAGTGGGTTGTCGTACTTGACAGGCCCAGGAACAGGCAGGAAGTCTCGCCAGATGCCTGTGTGACCAGGACCTGCGCGTGCAACCTGTGTGAATCACGGTACGCGGTCACTACAGATCATCCATCGGTCGTTGTTGCATCATAGCTGCTGATGAAGCATTGTTTTTCGCAGTGGGCAGTTTCCTTCGGAATCGGAAAGGTAGGAGTACTTTGCTTTAGTCAGAGTCAGTCATAGTTCTTCCAGTGACAAATAGGAATTCATGTGGGTGAAAACCTTACTTAAAAAACTAAGTGCCTCAAATCAGTCATACATGGATGAAATATGTACTTCAAGAAGAAATTAATGCAGAAACAATGAGCACACAGTTGGAAGGGCCTATTTCTCGATCCAAACGCCATTACGGTGCTTCATACAGTGAAGGGTTCATCACGGACAACCAAGTATGCTGCACTATCACTTTTAGTCTGTCTCTCTCTCTCCCTTCTCTCTCTCTCTCTCTCTCTCTCTCTCTCTCTCTCTCTCTCTCTCTCTCTCTCTCTCTCTCTCTCTCTCTCTCTCTCTCTCTCTCTCTGTCTCTCTCTGTCTCTCTGTCTCACTCTCTTCACCTGAAAACACATCCATGCTACTTGGGAAACCTCCTCTCTTGCAGACTTGCATAAATACCGCTTGCATTTCAAGAGGATATACTGAAAGAATCATGTGACACCCAGTCAGACTGAGTTTCCGCATCCATAGGAACACCACCACCCTCAATGATCATAGGAACACCAACACCACCCTCAATGATCATAGGAACACCAACACCACCCTCAATGATCATAGGAACACCACCACCCTCAATGATCATAGGAACACCACCACCCTCAATGATCATAGGAACACCACCACCCTCAATGATCATAGGAACACCAACACCACCCTCAATGATCATAGGAACACCACCACCCTCAATGATCATAGGAACACCACCACCCTCAATGATCATAGGAACAACACCACCCCAATGATCAAGGCGCAGATGCTTCTGCGGAAGGGGTGGGATAAGAAGATCATTATTATGCTCTGGATAATCTGAAGTCCTGATTTTGAAGCACTTACAGCAGTATTGACTGTATCAATCTCAGATTGTAGCGTGTTGATTTGCAACTGAAGACTGCTAACTGCAGTAGTGTCAACATCAGTATCTTCACCTCCATCATCAGTATCCAATGATGCAGGTGGCTGTATGAAACACACCCACAGGGATACTAGGTCAGAATACGCATGCATCAAGTGGCATCTAGGATACATACAAGTACATGGATGCGGGTTGTTAGCAGGTTTGTTCTTTGATCATATGTATTAGGTCCCAGTCTCCCGTACATGGTTTCCCGGTGCATCGTTTCCCCTGCACCTCATACACAAAGCTTCCGACGTTCCTGCATGGCGCCTTGTGTTCTGTTGACCAGGGTAGCTGCTTATGCGCTCATCGTGCATATTTACCATACTCTGGCCATATCTAGCTCTATTTTACATTTCCTTTCCCTCCCTCCCTCCCTCCCTCCCTCCCTCCCTCCCTCCCTCCCCCTGCAAATGAATACGAGCTTGTACATGCACGGCTCACATAGCTATCACCATAAAGCACTGAACAACCACAGCCACATACCCTCGACTCCAGAATGGCAAGTCTGCGCTCCAACATAGCATCTCCAGCACGAGCGGTGATGTTCAGAGCAGATACTGCACTGGCTATCTCTTGCAAGTCCAATGTCAGCTGTCTGGAGCTACTAGATGAACTCTCCGCCTACAAGAGAGCAGTTGTGAAGTACAACGTTGAAGTAGTTAGACCCAAGATACAACAAGATACAACAGCGTTGAAGTAGTTAGACCCAAGATACAACAACGTTGAAGTAGTTAGACCCAAGATACAACAACGTTGAAGTAGTTAGACCCAAGATACAACAACGTTGAAGTA